TCTAACTTTCTCTAACCGGGAAGCATGTGCTCCTTTTCCTTCTGACCCCAGGGCCCTGGGCTTGTGAAAGAACAAAGTTCCCTAGATTAGCGTGTAGGCCCTTAGGAAACAGAGTATCACCTCTTCCCCATCTCGGGCTCCAGGGCAAATGAGGAGCCCAGAGTGGGGGTGGTAGAGGCCTCGTTGTGCAACTCTGAGCACAAGGCCCCGGTGACTCACACGCCCCGGGCGTGGCAGTCTGTGGTCAAGTGTGCACTGTGCTGCTGACTCTGGGTCCAGTGGGCGTGTAGAGCGGCTCAAATCTACGGCAACCCTCTTAACTTGAGCAAGTTGTCTTTATTAAAGCAAAGAGAATGTTAAGAAACGGAACATTTATCCATTGGTAAGGTCTTTGAAATCAGGATGGCCTACAAAATTGAGAATCTACAGTCAGCACCTGATGGCATTAGATGGTCAGCATTGGTAATCAGATCCCTTTTTAGTGAGCACCTACTATGTGTCCCACCTTGTGTAGGCACGTCACCCGTGCTAACCCTCATGCTCACCAGACTTACTGGACTCCTCGTGTGTGCAGAGAGAGATGTTGCCTCTTTCTACGTTTTGCAAGTATAATCTTTGATAAAACTATAGTAGAACCGCTGTTATAGTGCAAAACATTCTAAAACCCTAATTATTTGATTAAACACACACACACACACACACACAAACACACACAGAACACGCTTAGCTTCCGTATTGTAAAATGCATCAGCTGCAGCTGTAATCATTTGTGGTTGAAGAGGCCAGACTGTTCCTGGTTGGGTTGTGGCTTTGTTTAGAATTAAGAGGCTTATAAAGGAAGCCATAGAAACCTCGAGTTCTCCAATTGCTGTGGTACAGGAAACGAGGCAGTTAGTCAGTATCCATTGTCCTGACTCAATTGTTTAAGATATCATTTCAAGACAGCCTGAAAACACTTCATGGCTTGATTACGTGTTTATTCAGCATCAGGCTTCCTCTTATCAAGGTTTGCTTGAGGAACAATCGTGGGACAGACATTTCTGCAAGTTTCGTGAAAGGCTATTTATGACGTTGTCATTAGGTTCCGAGCCCTTTATGTAGCAGACGGATGTGAGCAGGGAAGAGTATGTCTCTCCTGGGGTGCTGGTCCACTATATTTTGTCAGCTGGCTACATGAGCGTGCCAGGCAGTGCCATGAGCCGTGGTTATGTTCACAGGCCCTATCGGTGCCCACGCTGATGCTCGCGACACGGAGCCACCCAGCTGAGGAGCAGTTTGAAAAATCAGCGCCTGCGGGTGGTGCTTCAGCCCATGTGACATTTGTATGGTGGCACCTATTTGAAATCGCCTTTGGTTTTTTTCTGTCCAGAGTCATGGTGTGATCAGCTCTGTTGTAGCTGTTCTGAGGAGCTGCCTGACTCTCACAGGTGCCCCCACAGTGAAGGGCTCAGATTCTGCGGGGCTTATATTCTAAGTCTGACCATTCGAAGCAATCCCTGAGATGGCCCTGAAAACCTACACCCATAGCCCTTGTCTGCCTGGCCCTTCCTTTGAGAGCTTTCCAATGGGAATGTCATTCTGTGCCACATCCCAGGATTCTGAATCACCGTGTATGGGTGGGGCCAGAACAGGCATTTTTCTTAAAAGCTTCCCAGGTGACAGATATACACCTCCCACTAATGCTTCTATTGTATCATAAAAATAAAAAAAAATCGGAACCCACCTGAAATTCTTAGACAAGAACTAAACAATAAATTTGACATTTTAAACTCAGTATGGTTCAAGCATTGTGGAACACATTTGTTGTCTTTTGATAACTTTTGGTATTACTCAGAAAGTGTGTCCCTGCTTCTGATGACATTTTCATTGGAAATGGCAAGGTGGAGGTGGTGGGGGTGGGTGGAATTTAAGTTACTGAACAAGCTTCCTTCCACTGCTGGTCCCAGGCATTTTTGCTTTATTAATATGAGATTCCCTATTCCTATCTACAGGAGAATGGAGGTTCATCTAGAGCTCCTTAAACAGGCTAGGGGAACACATGCACCCCGGTCTCCTGGATTTATCTTCTTTTCGGCTTTCATGTCCCTGTGTTTCTGCTTCCTGCAGCCAAGCGGTGCCTCTGTGGCTCCCTGAGGCTTGATTCTCAGGCTCCCTCCTGCCTTGTCCTCACCCTCCCTTGCTGCGGATTCCCAGCCCTGGCCCTGCCCTGCCATTTGGTGCTGCTTTTCCGGTTATCTGTGACTTGCCCCTCACCATGTGGACGCTTGATCAGCAGCTTCAGCATCACAGGGGAGACCGAGAAATGCAGACTCGGGGGCCTCACCCAGACCTACTTGAATGCAAGTCTGTATCTTCAAATCCCCTAGCCATCTGTGTGCACGTTACGGTTTGAGGAGCACTCGTCTACGAGCCAGCCCCATGCTGCATTGTAATTGAAGCCCCACTTATCCCATCCTTCTTCCTGCCTGCTCCTACTAACCTGTTTGTCTGCCAGGCTGTACTGCTGTTTTTCTAGACCATAAATCTTGGCTTCATTTTTTCTTTTCATTTTGACTTTTGTTCATTGATGCAGAAGTTCATTGACTGCCTCCCAGAGCTAGATGTTGGAGATGCAGTGAGCAAAAGCAGACCCGGTTCCTACCCTCCTAAAGCCTAGTGTCTAGTGGGAGAGGCTGGTATTAAATAGTTACATCATCAGTTATAAATGTGGCATTATGATCACCGTAGAGGACAGCCTGTAACACAAGTGAGTGGTGAGGGACGCTGGGAAGGCTCCCCGAGGAAGTGAGGAAGTGTTGCTTGTGCCGAGTGGTGAGGTGTGAAGAGGAGTTAATCATTTGAGAAGCAGGAAGTTTCCCAGGCAGAAGGAGCAGCGTGTGCAAAGGCCCAGTTCATTAGAGAAAGTTTGCAGAGAATTAATAAAAGAGAACGTTGAAAATTGCTCTCAAGTCCTTCATCGTTATCTGCTCTTCTGCCCAACCTTGTCAAATTTACACTTCTCTATTACCTAAGCTGAGGAGCTGGCCGAGGCCCTTGGTCCTGCCTATCTCATGGGACCATGTGCTCAGTTCCTTACTTTTCCAGGCTATGAATCTACCACCCCACAATTGCATTCACCAGTGAAACCACTTTGCTAGTTCCCTGAATATACCATGGTCACATTCTAGCTGGCCCTCTAATTACTTCTTCATACCTGTATTCTTAAGTAAACTTGATATTAAAATATACATAAAGGTGCACAGATAATAAATGTAGAGCTTGATGAATTTTCACAAAATGAATACACCAGTGTCATTAGCACTAAGATCAAGAAATAGAATATTATTAGCCTCCCAGAAGACCCTGTGCCCCCTTAGTTCCTATACCCAAAGGTAACCACCATCCTGTTCTCTATAGCCATTGACTAGTTTTTATACTTTATGTAACCATGTTCATGCTGTAGGTAATCTGTTGTCTAGCTGCTTTTTCTCAGCATAATGTTAGAGGAATTCATTCATCTGTGTGTAACCATAGTTTCTTTATTTCCTTTGTTGTATAGTCATGCATGGTATGACAACAATTTATCCATTCTCTATTGTTAAGCATTTGGATCTTTTCCAGTTTGGGGCTATTATGAAGATTCTTGTACCTATCTTTTAGTGAAATTAAAGGTACATTTTTCTGTTGGGAATACACCTAGAAGTAGAATTGTTATGTCACAGAATACGAAGTCTAACAATTATGTTCACGAACTTGTTGCAACCATGTTACTAACCTTTTTTGATACCAGAGGGATTGTTCATTATGAATTTGTACCAACTGGACAAACAGTTAACCAAGTTTACTATTTGGAAGTGCTGGAAAGGCTGCGTGAAAAAGATAGATGTTCTGAACTTTTCACCAACAATTCATGGCTTTTGCATCACGACAATGCACCAGCTCACATGGCACTGTCTGTGAGGGAGTTTTTAGCCAGTAAACAAATAATTATTGGAACACCCTCCCTACTCACCTTATCTGACCCCCAATGACTTCTTTCTTTACCCGAAGATAAAGGAAGACATTTTGATGACATTCAGGACATCAAGTGTAATAAGACGACAGCTCTGATCGCCATTCCAGAAAGAGTTCCAAAATTGCTTTGGAGGGTGAACTAGGCACTGGTGTGGGTGCATAGCTTCCCAAGGGGAGTACTTTGAAGGTGACCATAGTGATATTCAGGATCGAGGGATGTGGCACTTTTTCTAGGATGAGTTTGCGAACTTGTCAGACCTTGAATACATATGTTCAGCTTTAGCAAGTAACAAACAGTATACTTACTAGCAGTGCATGAGAGTTCCAGGTACCCCATATCCTGAGCAACACTTGGTTTTGTCAGGTTTCACTGTAGCCATTCTGGTGGGTATGTGGTACTGTTGTTTTGTGGTTTTAATTTGCGTTTCTTTGACGACTAATATGGTTCCCATATTCTAACAGGTTGTTTGTTCTCTTACTGATTCATAGAAGCGCTTTATATATTTATAAATGTATATGTATTGCAGATATTTCTGTGGGTTGTCTTTTATTCTTTTAAATAGTGTCTTTTAATGAACAGAAGTTCTATGTAGTCTAATTTATCAATAAATGTCTTCATCTTTTAAATCAGTTTTACGCCACATTTAGTTCTGTAAAACCTTAGGGGTAGGATACACAAATACACAAAATAGTAAAATAAAAAAATTAAAAGCTGGGAAATATATATAAATTAGAAGATTTAGACCAGGAAGATAATAAAATACAAACAAGCCATGTAATTTGATGAACATATTATAACTGAACAGTAAATTTTGCTTAGAGCTTAGAATTCAAAACTCAAAACAGAAACATGGTCTGTTATCTAGTTCTCATTATCTGTGAGATCCTCAGACAGTACTGTGAAGATCAAAGCAGACAGGTAAAGTGGTAGGTAGGCTATGAAGTGTGTTCATATGTAACTGGCAGTTTGCATATCAGACAGCTAACAGGTCTATCTTCTGTTACAGCTTATTCAACGATAGTTATGACCTCCCGATTACGTGCGTTGGGTGGAAGAATTAATAACATACGCACCTCAGAATTACCCAAAGAGAAAACTCGATCGGAAGTCGTCTGCAGCATCCGCTTTTTAGATGGCTTGGTACAGACTTTTAAAGTTAATGTAAGTTCTCCAAATTTAATTTTTTCTGAGTTCATGCCTCTAAGACATAACTTTCCTTTTGGTTTTTAAGATGAAACAATTATTTTAAAATTAAAGCTTGAGATCGCAGACCTTGTACGTTGAGATTGGAATGGAAATACCCTTAAAAGCTTTGTCTATGTTCTCGCCTCACCCGGAGTGTCCTTTTTCCTCTCGTTTGTGATGTGAACTTGTGTGATTCTTAGATGTTACTTCCGTTCAGTCTGTGTCAGCTTCCTGAGCTAGTTCTCCAATAATGGTGCCTTTATATGCTTTGTTAGAGTCCATATCACATTGCATTAACAGTAATTGTAATTTTTAGGTTATATGTTGCTCTTTAACTGTGAGCTCCTGGAGGACAGGACGTGTCGTTTCCCCTGTGCCTGGCACAGGGCTGGGCACACAGCAGGTGCTCATTAAATGTGCACGTGGGTGGGTCCCAGCTGGAGGGTAGTGAGACGGTTAGCCTACAGGTGGCAGGGCTCAGGGAGGGCCTGGCTTCTGGAGAAGCTTCAAGTCCATGGCAGAGGCAGGGTTAGGAATGAGGTCTCCAGTGTCCTAGTCCAGCAGTAAGAGGCTTAAACAGCGGCAGTCCCTGCTGCCCCACCCCACCCCAGTTACCACGTGGCCTCAGGATCTGCCTGTCCCATCCTCTGGCCAGCCCTAAAGGGGTCAACCCCAGCTCTGGGCTGGCTGCCAGCATCTGCCAGTCTGGAAAATTCAATGTGCAAAGAAAGGTGTCAGAGAAGATGGGGGGATGAGAGAATAATGCAGACGAGGGGGTGATAAAGGGCCATAGAATTTAAAGGATAACAAAAACTGACCCCTGCGTCTCCTGCCCCACCCATACGTTTGCTTCCTGCTGAGCCCAGGTCACTGTGGACCTTGATGGCTGGGCAGGCCAGGGGAGAGAGCAGTTTGCATACAGCCACAGAGTGGAGGATGCTGTCTCTCCTTCCCAGTCCAGGGATAGGACCATTCATTGCCAGGTGCCTTGGTCGGGGGCACCTGCCTTCAGGGGACAAGATGCGGCCAACCACTAAGCACGTGGGAGTTTGGGCCCCACGCCTGGCAGAGTGGAAATGGACGGTAGAGACAGACATTCCTCAACTTTTTCCCAACCCTCCGTCCACTTCCACAGCTACCCAGGACTGCTCCCTAAGGTCAGGGCCCTGTTCTTTTGTGGGTGGGCAGCATTGTTGTAGAAGGACAAACCCCAGCAAGGGAATGTAATTGTCTGGTTAGGTGTGTCTAGAGCCTAAATAACACAGACTCGTGACCTACTTCTCAAGCCAGTGTGGGGAAAACCACCCTCTAGGGCAGCGCTGTCCAGAACTTGCTGCAGTGCTGGGAAATGCTCTATATCTGCACTAGCCAGTGCAGGAGCCATCAGCCACATGTGGCTGCTGACCACTTGAAATGTGGCTAGTACACTGGAAGAACTAAATTTATTTTATTTTTTAATTAATTAAAATTTAAACAGTCTTTTATGGCTCACTGCCCCCACTCTTTGCAGCACAGCCCTTGTAAGTATTTCTTAGAGTGCATCAAAACCCTCTAGATCAGTGGTTCTCAACCTGTGGGTCGCGACCCCTTTGGGTCGCCTAAGACCATCGGAAAACAAAAAGATATTTACATTACGATTCATAACAGTAGCAAAATTACAGTTATAGAGTAGCAACGAAAATAATTTTATGGTTGGGGGTCACCACAACATGAGGAACTGTATTAAGGGGTCGCGGCATTAGGAAGGTTGAGAACCGCTGCTCCAGATGCATGTGAGAAATAGACATCCTTTGTCCTACCTGGGTATTTTGAAACATACTCTCTGTGGCCTGACAATCTGCATTTTAATGGCTCCGCATGCAATCTCGATGCACATTGCAGTTTGGAGAACCACTGATTTAGGGACTTTTTGTTAAGGTTATACATAGTTCCCTCAAAAGGCAACAGCTTTGGTTCACTGAGCTTTGTCCTATATCCTAATACCTCTCTAACATTGTTATCTGTAGGATTTTGTTACTGAACCAGCTTTGCAAAGGGCACAAACCTTTCTTCCAGATGTTGTAAACTGACAGCTTAGTTTATATCTGACTCCTTTGCTGAAACGTATGTCGTCAGCCTGGAGTTATTCTTCAGCTGTATATCTTCCTCCTGACAAGAATATGAATGTTTATTTAACAAATGTTTACTGAGCACCTACTATGTGCCAGGCTTTGTTCTGGGTACAAATAATACAGCAGTGAACAAAATAGAGCAACATCCCTGCCCTTACAAAGCTTACTTCCTAGAAGAGGAAATGGACCATAAGCAAATGTATACCATGTCAGTGGTGTTATATGCTTAGAAGAAAAATAAAGCTAGATGCAGAGTGCCAGGAAAGGACAGGGGTGGGGTTGTCATTTTACAGAAGTGATCAGGGAAGACATCATCTAAAGGAAGTGAGGGAAAGAACCCTGTAGTTCCCCGGAGGACACACATTCCAGGTAGAAGAAACAGCAGTGCAAAGGCCCCGAGGCAGAGTCCCGGTTAGTGTGGTTACAGGACAGCATGGAAGGCAGTGTGTCTGGGGTGGAATGAGCAAGGAGGAGAAGAGCAAGAGATAAGGTCAGAGGATTAACAGGTGTCAAGGTGGGGATGTGTAGAGCCTTGTAGGCCATTCTGAGGGCACTGACTGACTCTGAGTGAGGCACAAAGCATTGGTAGTTTGGGCACAGACCCGACATGATCTGACTCAGGCATCACTCTGGACGCTCTGTCGACAGTAGACTGGGGCCAAGGGCTAAGAGACTATCATAACAATCCAGGGGAGAGATGATAACTGGATAGTGTGGTCGTGTGGAGGGGGCTGAGTAAGCCAAGCCTGCAAGTATTTTGAAGGGGCAGCAAATGGGATTTGCTGATAGATGGAATTTCAGACGTGGAAGAAGCTCTAAGTGACTCAAGTTTTTGGCCTGAGCGATCGGCAGACAGAGTTGCAATTTATGGAGATGGGAAAGTCTGCGAGAGGAGAAGTAACCAGTTCTGTTTTGGACGTGTTGAATTTGAGATGCCTGTTACCTACGTAGAAACGTAGAAATGGTATTAGATATACAAGTCGGGAGTTGAAGAGAAGGTCTAGGTTGGGATACGCATGTGGGTGTTACCAGGGTAGAGATGGTATTTCAAGCTGTGAAACTGGATGAGAGCACCTGAGAAGTGAGTAGACAAAAGACAACCCAGATGTGGTATTTAATGGTGGGAGAGATGAGGAACAAGCATGAAACGGGATGCAGGAGGGCTGTCCAGGGAGGGAAGGGGACCAAGAGCGAGAGCCTGGGGGTCCCAGGTGAGCGTGTGTTTTAAGGAGGAGTGCTGAGCCTTGTAAACCGGAACAAGGTGAGCACCCACCCAGAGTGACAGTCGTACACAGCCTCAGGGCAGAGCCTGGCGTCCAGCGGGCACCCAGTCATTGGGTTGGGAGTATCTTTCTTACTGTCATGCTGCTGCCTGTGCTGCTTCCAGTGCTGCTTCCTTGTTTCCAGCAACCTGGTCAAAACTAACTCACATTGAACTTGAATTTGAGGGCCTGGTAGCAACTTTGAACCTCCGTTGCTTTATATTTTTCTACTCATGGGGATTGTTTGCACTGCCTCATTCAGACGCTTTAGCCTGGACTGTGTTTTGACCAGGAACAGGCATCACCAGAGAAGCTGGCCTGCACATCAGGTGTCCTTAGCCCAGCCCAGGGAGCAAGCCAGTCACTAACAGTGACCTGGTTTAGCAAAGGTGGCCTCTTACAGGGTGAGGACTGGGTGGGAGGCTTGTGCTTATTATAAATGCGTCCTTTATTATATTTCAATTTCTTTTGAGAACTGGGTGAGTTGTGCAGAGTAGATACTGGAATGGGTGAGTTATGCACTCTGAGAAGGGAGATGCAGAGTAGCGGGAACGTGCAGGCATTGGCATTAGACGGGCCTGAGTCAGGCTGATGGCACAAGGCACGGAGCTTCCCAGGGCCCCTGTTTGCTCCTCAGCAAAGCGGATGGTGATGTCGACTTTGCAAAGTTGCCACAGAGATGAGGGATCATGTATGAAAAGTGCATATAGTACCCTGTCTGGCTCCTGGTAGATATTTAATAGATTATAAGTGTTAATATATATTAAGTATAACATCATATAAATAATGTCAACAAGGGGAGCAGATAGCTATGGCCAAGAGAGTATGTCATAATTTAGAGGGAGAGTATCTCATAATTCAGAATACGTGGACCGGATCATCTTGTCCACACTGTCACGATTCTTCTGTGATGGCGATGTCCTGGGCAGAGGAGGTAGGAGGTACAGGGCCCGTAGGCAGGAAAAGGGGATGTGTTCGGGAAATGGCCTGTCTCGTGTTCCCACACTTCAGACTAGATAATATGGGACCATGTCAAAGGAGAGGCTGCAGGAGGGGCCTGACAGTTACCTAATGTCCTTCTCCTGGTCACTGTGACCTATTTTCAGGTACATTGTCTGCACTCAGAAAAAGAGCTGCCTTTCCTTGTTCTATATGTGGCCTGTTTCTCATTCATATTGTCCTTAAGTTAAATGGTTTGGTTCAAAGGGTTCCTGGGAAGTCAGCCTGTTAAAGTAGCACTTGGATTTCCCAAGCACAGCGCGCTGTTTCCCACCCCGCTGCCTTTGTGTCTGCTTGCAATGGCTTTTCTTAGCTCCTGCCACTGGAGGAAGGGGTGTCACTCAGCCCTGTCATCCTCCCAGACCCAGGTCGGGGGCTGTCTCCACTTGTCCCCAGGTTGAGTTGGCCATTTGTGTTTACTGTACCCTGAGCACGTTTCCCGGCACTTGACAGCATTTGACACACTGTTGCTGCTTCCGCGGCTGGCCTCTCTGGGAGGACAGGAAGGCACGCTTATTATGGCTCTGTCCCCGTTCCCAGCAGCGTGCCTGCTCCATCAGCTCTGAGTGGTGAAGGTGGCTGAGTCCTGCTCTGGATGTGAAGTGTGGTTGAAAGTCCCCACTGGCTTCTCACTTCAGATGACGAGGAGCAGTGAGGCAGATAATCCCCCAGGGTGTCACATGCTAAGTCACTCTGAGGATATTTTGGGTGGCATTTGAGTGTTCTCAGCCCTCTTCCTTCATGTGGCTATTAGAGAGGTTTTTTTTTCTTCCCTGTGTGCCCTTCCATGGTTCCCAAGGAGCCAACAGAAACCCACGTGGGGTTAGCATCGTGCTGTGCATAACCCACGGGCAGTCACGGTATTTGCTCTCACTGTCATATCTGAGTTTCCCAATTTAGACATCATCACTTGGGAATCTCAGCTAAGGGGAAGGAAGTCTTAGAAAATTAAATGAAACTATACTGTTTTGAGTCATATTGATGTCGTTTTTCTTAGTCCTGCTTCCCATATGTACCATGTGGCTCCTTAACTTAAAATTTATCAACGTGTTTCTTACTGTGGTATATGTGTGCGCATAAAATCTCCATGAATGTTTTAACTCCTTTTCCCCTACAATAAAGACTTGAATTGCCAGTTATTAATTCATTTTAAAATTTGGCTCACTCGACATTTTTTTTTTTCTTTTCTAGAAGCAAGATACCGGTCAAGTTCTTCTGGATATGGCATACAACCATCTGGGCGTAACCGAAAAGGAATATTTTGGTTTGCAGCATGGCGATGAATCCGTGGACTCTTCCGTGAGTACCGCCCCTGTAAGACGTGCTGGACTCCTGCACAGTTTGGTTTTACATCTTATGTTTTCTTACCCAACAGAGATGGCTGGAGTCAAACAAGCCCATCAGGAAGCAGTTGAAAGGTGGGTGTGACCTCGTTTCAGCTGAACCCTGGGCGTTAGTGTATGTATCATGGCCCGTTTCTCTTCTCTGATCGCCACTGTGCCTATAACATTGGGTACCTGGACTCGAGGTGGTTCAGGTGACGTGAGGGAGCCGACCTCTCCCTGTCTGATTTCTAAATGAGCAGAGATGCTTCCAGACCAGCCCCCAAGGGTCCTCACCAGCTGTTAGCAAGAAAGGGAAAGGTGAAAGAAGGCAGCCAAGAGCTGGGGAACCCACTTTCTTTTTACGAGGTCAGAAGGATGGCCTTTCGTAGCCCAGCGTGAGAGGGTGGGAGAGAGAGACGGACACACACACACCTCTAGTCCTTTCCAGCAGCACAATTCCAATCACTAGGTAGGTGATATCACACATATAACGTACAGCTCATCAACCATCAGTCCCAGGACAGGTTAACCGCAGTGAGGTGGCCTTTCTAGCCACATCTCACCCCACCTTCCGCCCGGGTCTGTTCTCAGCCTGGTTTTCCAATGTCACAGCCTTTCCCCCCTTTATGCATTTTATGCCCCATACAAACCTGGTTGACCTGCTGGGCCGCACATATTCCTCTGTGCCTTCCCCCATTCTGTTCCCTCTGTTGGGAGTGCTTTGCCCCCCTCCCGCTTCCTTATAGCCACACCTTGCTGTTCTTCAGAGTCACTCAGATCCCACCTCCTCCCCTGCTGGCAGCCGCGACACCCTCCCCCTCCCTTACATTTACCATCATCTTCTCTGTGCCTTGGAACACTGTCCCCTTCATCTTATAGTTTTCTGCCTGTCTTTCTCAAGGAGCTTGCAGTTTTGCACAGTGAGGGCCCTTGTCACATCCTCTCTGCACTCTTCACAGTGCCCTCCCCACAGGAGGTAGCCAGTGAGTGGCCGAGGGGTGAGGACAGGTGGATTTGTACACAAAAATGTGCACACACATATGCCACATCCCCAGTCCTCAGACGGGAAGGAGTGGAGACACATCGCCCTGGCCCTGAGCCCATGGCTGCTCTCCCCTGGAGCCAGAGCCTCAGATCCGTACCTCCCATGAGTTGTGTCCTTGGCATTCAGAAATGCCCATGGGGAGCCACAGAGCTGTTATGCAGATAACTGCTTGTCCCCCTTTGAATTCACAGAGGGGTAAGTGCACACAGCATGGATAGGTGTCATTCATTCTCTTACCAACTCATTCATTCAGCCCTGAGCTCAGACTTGGGCAAGACCCTGGGCTCAACTCTGGGAATCTGGTGCAGATAAGATTTGGACCCTGCCCTCAAGGAGCTCACAACCAAGTGTGGGGACATTGAAAAGGGGAGAGAGGGGACTAGGATAGCTCTGAGCACATGACAGGATGCCCTGGGTGCACGGAGGAGGACAAGAAAGACGTGGAGGCATGCCTGAGACACACAGTGACAACTTACAGGGAGGGGCGGGGAGTCGAAAGGGCATCCCAGGGCAATGGGAGGACCTAGCTATCCCCTGATGTAGGTGGTCAGCCAGCACCCAGAGGTACAGCACCACCCACTCTGGTTCCCAGACACCTGTTCAGAAGTACATTCATAGGTGCACACACACCAATCAAAGTCTTTGACACAAGCCAGAGAAAGACAAGGTATTAAAGAGAGCGGGAAGTGAGGCCCAGGATGAAGTAAGGCAGCAGGATGGCTTGAGTTTCAGAGAGCAAGAAGTGCTGGGCACTTAGGGCCAGTGAATATTTACCGAGTAATGGAGAGTGGGGTGAAATTGACATGAAGATGGGCACGGATCTTAGCAACACAATCTAATCTGCTGCTGCTGCCATACCTAGCAAAAGAAACGGGCTAATTTTATCCATACAAGCGGATTGACTCTTGGGATTGTTGCATAAAGCCATATTTGCATGTGTTAATTATGTAATATTTGCTAGTATATTAATCACTTTTGGAATTCACTTTGCATTAAAAGCATAACATGTTTTCCAGTGTAAAAATGATGTTGAAATGTGGCATAGCAGAATCAGAAACCCCTGTGCTAAAATTCTTGGTTTTGTCATCAGCTAGGTGACCTAAGGCAGGTCACTTACATCTCTAAGCCTGTTGGCTTATCTGTAAAAGGGTGCTATCAGTAGCAGCCTAGCCTACTTATAGTCCTGGCAGTGTTTAAATTCAAGAAAGTACGTGAAAATGTTTGAAAAGTTTAAAATCGCTGTATATGTGAGATAGTGTTTCTTTGTAAGGTTTGTGTAACCTGCTGATGTAAGGATTTTTTAAATTCCTGATACAGATAACGGAGTGCACTGTTTGAACGTATCCTGAAGTTACACATGTAATAGGAAGTAGATAATACCTTATTCTATGCTGATGTTGCAAAAATATTTTACTTCCTGTAGAAGTGGAGATTTCTGAACAGTCAGTTAACTTAACGCACTCCTTTTTTGAAATGAATCCTTTTATTGATGGGAAAACCTGTGGTGTAGTGAAAAATGTGTCACTTATGGGAGAGTAGCAGCTTACATACATTGACTTTTTTTAAAGGGAAAATTTAATTTGTTTTTGAAAAATGTTGTAGGAGGTTTCCCCTGTACCCTGCATTTTCGAGTAAGATTTTTTATACCTGATCCCAACACACTGCAGCAAGAACAAACCAGGTAATAACATTTTTTTTTAAGTTTTCTATTTAGTATATAAAAATGAGTAACCTCTAAAAATGTACTCTTTATTTTATCACTGTGGCCAAATACTTTCATTTGGGTATAACTGCACCAACAATTACGATCCAAGTAAAAACTGGGGTGCACAGATTGAAATTTTAATCGGCTAATTAGGTGTCCGTGTTGGGCCTCCTGATTTGGGGCAGTTGCCAGCACGCGCCCACCCACCTCCGCCGGCCTCCCCCACCACCCCAGGGTCTCCTGCCTGTTGAGCTCCTGTGTTCAGAGAACACCATTTTCTACTAATACAGGCAGGGTTTGGAAGAGGAGTTTGTAAAGCAGTCATGCACGGATCAAGTAGCGCAGTATCTCTTCAGGACAACAAGAGGTGTCTGAACTGAGCCTTCTCTATCAGATCCCCCGCTGGTAGGAGCTGGGCCGGCTTCTCCCCGCAGTGAATCCGCAGGGGGCAGGCAACCTGTGGGCCAGATACATAGGAGTTGTTTACCCCTCAGGGCTTGGCACCTGGCCCCGGTTTTGTACTGGCACGGGAGTTTTCTGGGTGGGGAGCAGTGTTTGGAATGGAGGGGGCTGGTAAGGGAAAGTTGTCTCTGTTTGAACAGACACTATGCAAACTCAGCCATGCGTCTGCTTTCCCTCCCCCATGGCAACAGTTAAGCCCTGTTATTATTGATACTTTTGTTTTTCTTGGGGAGGGAGGCTCTTCCACCAGGAAAAAAGCAATGGATGCTCAGGAGTGTTGAACCCAATTTTGGCCCATTGTGGTGGTGAGACCACCATCGAGAAGGCGACTTTGACTCAGAGTGCTGTCTGGGATTTTCCTTTCTTTTTTTCGGTTGTAATCACATGATCACATTTGAACTTGCAGTATGTTTAAAGCCCAAATATTAGCCTGTTACTCTGTTTTGCCTTCTTGTGCCCACCTTCCCTCTACAATAGCAGATGCTGGAGATTTGACTGTTTGCCATGAAGTTAAATTCTAAGCCAGCTTAAGAGGTGTCTAGCGTGACTCATTGGGTAACCATGGGAAATGCGCACGGTGCTTTGAATTTTTCCCCAGAATGGCCATTTTCTCTGGTGGACTAAGGGGTAGCGTAGTAACACTCAACCTAGCAGGTCACTTCATAAGCCAGTGGACACAAAGTGGTGACATGGTCTATAAGAATATGTGTTTGAAGTGACCCGACCAAGGCCATTTCCTCAGGCTGTTACTAAATACCACGTTCTGTTCAAGGAATGCTTTAAAAATGGCAGGATGGATTATGTATATAATGTGTATATATACATATATATATATTATATATATATGTATGTGTGTATGTGTGTTATATATTATGTGTATGTAGATACACGTGTACTTGTGTGATTTTAACCAGTGAGTTTTTTAAATCACAACCTCACAGTAAAAATATATTTTGATTCACTATGCAGCACACAGGTATCCTATATAAATTACTGAAGCCAACATTTCTTAAAGCAATAGTAAATGCAAAATTACTCTGAAGTTTTCTGTTCCATTTCCTTTTAAAATTCCAGTTGTGGCCCATTAAATTGATCTTACTACCAACTGATAGGTTCCAACCCCAAGCTGCCTAAATTGTCACCCATCACCCCGTCTCCTCCCTGTGATGCCCTCCAAAGAAGGCAGCTGAGTGAAGGGACCACTAGGCCAGCCTCATCCAGGAGCCCCTCTCCAGCCCTTCTTACTCGTTGGGCACCCACTTCCATACCCCATGGGAAAGGAAAGAAGCCCCCTCCCTCTGGGAGCCAGCAGAGTCTTCCCACCCAGCCTCCCGACATTTGAGGGAAATGTGGGGAGTTCAGGATGGAGAGGAGACTGCTTTCAGATCTGCAACGGGCTGTCATGGGAGAGGGGGAATTAGATGTGCTCGGTGCTAGAATTGTGGCCGGTAGGTAGAGGCTGCAGGGGGCCAGGTTTTAGCTCAAGATGAGGAATGGACAAATTTTTGTTTTTACCTAACTCCCAGATAAAATTCGGTTTGTCTGTTTCTCCTAAAATTCCCTGGTTCAGAGCTGACACCCAGCCCCACCATCCATCTCCCATCTTAAGATGGGTGGCATCCCCAGTGTGGTGTAGAGTACAGCTGTCACCTCCTGGGATTGGGGCACCAGGCTTTTCTTCATGCAGCAGGAGCCATGGCAGCAGCCCCCCTGCGGCTCCTGTAGAGCTGGGCCAGGTTTCCACGTTAGTGAGTGTGTGTGTGTGTGTGTGTGTGTGTGTGTGTGTGTGTGTGTGAGAAAGAGAGTTTTGTCTTTTCTTTTTACTTAAATGAAGAGTTTTGCCTGTGTTCGTGGCACATCATATCTTATTAAGCCCTGGCTCTGTAGCCTGTCCAAAAGTTAAGTTTGCTTTTAGAAATTTAGCTCTTAAGAGTCAAAAAAGGAGTACAGAGGTAACATTTGTTGTTTTCTAAGGAGCCAGGCAAGGAGGCATTCATTGCTTTTTTTCTGTTTGAGGTTTTTTTTTTTAAGGAGGGCGCAGCTCACAGTGCCCTTTGGGGGGACAGAACCGGCAACCTTGGTGTTATCAGCACCACGCTCTAACCAAGCTAACTGGCAGCCCCCTGCTTTTTTTCTGAAGTTGAGCTCATGGATGGGGCACACTCTAGGAGTGATGGTTGCATTTCTGAGAAGAGGCACACCACGCATCTCTTCTAAATGTCTTTCCTTTATTCTAACTGCTAAAGAAATGTCTCCTTGATTGTGAGCCCCCACAGCTGCTGTTTCTGATAAATTTAGATCATTCTAAACAATTTCATTTACTGGCAGTCTCAAAATGAGGCTCCTTTCAAATTTCTAGGAGGCCTGCTAAGTTTGGGTCTCATTCCACTATTCTGATCTCTTTATGGTGATGTCATGGGGTTTACTCAGAAACTTTGCTGAATATGTGACAAAGTAGCATTTGATGAATGGTGATGTCCACGTTCATGTTCTCCTTTATATCCCTAGGAAGATACTCCGATTAGCTGGACTCGTCAATGAAAGCCCAGATTTACTACCGGCTTATCTCTAATTCTCTCCCTTCTCTCCTTTCTCTCAGTAGCATTGTAGGTTAAGAGAACACTTAATTCTGGTTGAATGTCAGCTTGGATAAACATAGAAACAAACTAGAAAGGACTGATTATGTTCTCGTAGGTGGAAAATATCGAGGTTTCAATATGGAATAAGCGTGAATCAGTAAATCTGTGTTACACTGTCTCTCAGTGCTGGTCTTCAACACATTAAGGGTAGTTGATGGTAATTATAGTCAAAGTAATAATAGCAGAGTTAGGAAATTGTTCCTAAGCTTTTCAGCCATTAGACGCATAAGAAATTTGTAGCATAGTCAGGTTTTTTTCATAGCATGAGTGTCCACGTTAAAATAAGACACAACTGACCTTCATGTAACCTATCTGAATATTTGTTTCCTCATCTGTAAAAATTGGACATAGTGGTACCTACCTCACAGAGTTATTATGAGGCTGAAATGAGGCAATAAGTTATAAAGTATCACACACACGCCCCAGAACTGTGCCGGTAGGAAGTTGTGATATCATGTGAAGCATTCATGACTCAAAACACCAGCGCCTTGACCTTTAAACATAAAAATTTGAAGGCATAATGAGATTGATTTGTTTAAATTGCCAAAATTATCTCTCCCCTGCCCCTGGGCGCTTGTGCTGTGTCTGTATTATATTTCAAGAAGTTTCCCTTTTGTCATCTTGGCCAGACACTGGAATGTCTATCCCATTTGAATCCAGGCTTTAAAAAAGAGTGGGAGCTAGCGGCCAAGTGTCAGCTTGTGTGCCGCATCCCTAAATATAATGCTCTCTAGGGCCCTTCCCGGCCTGCACTGCGCCGTGGATCACAGGATGATGAGGGGCCTGTGAGAACTTACGAGCTCTGCCTGCACATCAGGTCCTGAGTTTTGAAGGGACATCGCTCACAGAGAAGTGCAGAATCCAGCTTGGAGGCCTTGGCAGCCTGTAGTTGACTAATGTGTATGCTTTTGCTGGAGCACCCACAGTTCCTGGGACACAGGAAAAAACCCAGATGGGTGTTTGCACCCCAGCCAAGGAGATGTCTTCACAGACCCTCCTCCCTTCAGCAACTTCATGCAGAGGGTACGTGGGTGTGCAAATGTCGTGTTCAGAACAGCAGCCCCTCAGTGTGTGGGGGCTGCCTGTGCAGAACGCCTGTGGGTCCTGGTGCTTTTGGATACCCCAAGTCTGATGGGAGAGATCCAGGCTGAGGGCGGGGTGCTCACTGGCAGCGGTACCAGCTGATCCTGGGGAGGCTGCGTCACCCTGTCAATCCCTGCCCAGCCGTCCCTAGGAGAGCATGTGCTGGCACAAGGCTGGCTGGAGAGCGCCCCTGCCGATCAAGACGTAGGCAGCCACGTGAGCCACTGTTACTGAAGGAACAGGTTTGCAAAACACAAGATAGCCCCTGATGCTTTAGACAGAAATGTGCTTTTATGTATTTTGTTTTTCAAATGTACAGGTCTTGCCCTTGACTCATCAGCTTATTTATTTATTTATTTATTTATTCATTTATTTATTGTTGCTTATTTCAATTTGAGTATGATGAATTAATGAAAATAATTGTTTCATAGGCATTTGTATTTCTTACAACTGAAGACGGATATTTGTGAAGGAAGGTAATGAGAATTTCGCATTCTTCTTTCCTGTCCATTGCCAGATTAGCAAAATTCCTGGTTCTAATCGAATGAGCGTGCATTTCTGGTAACAATGTTCAATGTAAACAAAGAATGGATGTTGAAAGCTGTATCCTGTATGCCATTATGCTTTGGACGTCTGTGTTGAACTTGGTCTTGAGTTAGGGAGGCTAGGATTGCTGAGCCTCATTTTACCTTGTTTCAATTTGATGACAAAAGGCACAGTTATCTTTCTGGTAAAGACCTGAGAAACTTTAAAGGGAGGGCGGGGCCCAGAATGTAAGATGGACTTCCTTCAGGAAGGCAGATAGGCTACTTCAGGCCCACTCCCGAACCCCTTAGTACCTGTGGATGATTCATTTCCTGTCTGGGGTACTTTTTGCTCAAAGACATGATTTAGCACTTCTTGTGTATCAGGACCCTCTCTCTGGCTGGAAAGTATCTGTGAAATAGCTCAGGAAGGGAGACGAGATTCCAGGCCAGTGGGCCCTGAACCTCCCCCAAATCCTGAGTTTTCTCTTGGCTTATGAAAGAAAGTGCAGCAGGTAAACGGTGGCAACAGCCACATCCTTTCCCCATTCTCCTTGTCCCCTCTTTCCTGTCAGGTTAGCTCTACTAAGGAGGGTCTTCAGAATCCTGAGGTGTGCTTCCATTAGGAAGTCTGGTTGGGGAGGTGAGGCAAGACCCCATGAAGCCATGAGGACCGATAGGGGCCGTGGGGACCACAGTTGTCATAAGGTGTTAGGCGAAGGAGATGCTGGTGTGGGCTGGAAAGGTCTTTGTGGATTGCTGCAGTGAGCCAGGATTGGGGTTGGTAGACCAATGAGGTGTTGGATCTCCCTGGGCAGTGAGAAGACACCCCATCCCCCACAGTCCCAGTTGGAAACCACATGTTGGGAACTTACGGGAGAATAGGGAGAAAAGGCTCTTTGTGTCAAATTTAGATGTGAATCTTGTACCCAGCGGTTAGAGGAAGCTGTTGGAGGTTTCTAAGCAGAAAGGATGTAGCAAGAGCAGCATCTGCAAAGGAAGTGTCAGTGAACGAGGAAAAAGCTGCAAGAGCCTGAGGAGTTTGCGTCTAGATGGAAGGGAAGGTGCCGCCTATTGCAGACGTCCAGGCCAGAAATCTGGGGGCATGGCAGTGAAATCGGGCGAGGGGAAGGAGAAGCAGTTAGAAACAAGAGGCCTGTTGGGGAAAGCTTAGGCAGAACCTTTGACTAGTTAGCGGTCACAGAACTAGAGAAATTTTCTAATTTAGCTCATCCTCCCACTAAGGTAAAAACGAGTCCCTTCTCTAGCACAACCCACAGGCCTTTGGGCATCTGCTTGAGCGCTCCCAACGACGGGGAGCTCACCGTTTCCCGGGGCAGCGTTCTTACATGCCAGGGCGACTCTAGATTGAAATGACCCACCTCCCCACTCCTGCGTCCAGGCTGCCCTCTGGAACTTGTCACTCTCTCTCCCGCGCACTAATTTGTTTTTCTCACAAATATTTTTGCAAGCACCTGTTAAGAGACAGGCACTGTACTGTGCTGGTCCAATAAGGCCAGGCCCCTGCCTACTCCGGAGCCTTCAGGTCTGGCTTTCTAAATATTTCAAGTTGGCCATCTTCTTTTTTTCTTCTCCAAACAAACTACTCCTTGTCAGTTTTATCTGAATCGATAGAAATCTGTTGAGGGCCTCAGGTTTCCTGGCTTAAATCCCTGGCATCCTCGTCAGGTCCGCAAGCGGCTCTCACCACCTCCCAAGAGGAGAGGGCCTCCTGTTTCCAGATGCTTCTCCGGTGCTCAGCAGGGTGGCATCTGGCTCTTTGCAGCCATGGATCTTTTGACAGACTTGGTGGGTCTAGTCAGCGTTTCTCCTGGGTGTCACATGGTGTCCTGACTTGTTTGAACTGTCAGTGGTAGGCAGCACCCCAGGCATCACTCCATCCTGCTGAGATGGGTGATCTTGTCTAACAGATGGAGATCCTAAAGCCTGGAGAGAAAGAAAAGGGTCTGTCAGGAACATACGGCCCATTAGTGGCTGAGCTGAGAGTAGAATACAGGCTTTCAGTGTTCTTTAATTTGTATTTGGACTATTCTTTGGCAGTGTTTTTCTTTCTGACTTCTTCATAGGGTTGTTTCTTCTTCCATCTATACTGAACCCCCTTAGCCTCTCTCCTAAGTTATTCCCCAAATCCCATTCCTGTAGCAAGGACACTGGCTTAGATTTCACTGAACCCCATCTTGGTAGGAGACTGAGTGGCTGATGTTTGCTCTCCCCATGGACCCTCTGGGTCTCCAGATGAACGAATAGGTGGTAAGTATCCCCAGATGTATCTGCAAGCTTGGAGAGAGCATTTGGAAATCCTAGTCGGGGCCCCTCAGATAGGGAGGGCTGCCTGCATATGCAGCTACAGGACCCACACACAGTGCGGCAGGACAGAAAGGGCCAACCAGACTCGTCAGAGAGGTGGGGGTGGGTGACTCACTTCTTCAGAACTTCATGGGCTGCCATGGAAACCGCATGTTTTCTCCATTTCCCATGGCGTTGCTGGGAAGAATGCCTTTAAAATCTGTGTCTCCCCACCCTGCGGGCCCTCACTTCTGCTGCCGCTTTCAGCTCCTCCCCAATGCTTTCCTCCACCCTGCTCCCCGTCTGTTGGCGGGGCTCCTACGGAGTCCATGGAACCTGGGTTGAAGGGAGAAAAAGAAGCAATCAGAGGATTTGAAATGTGACCAAGACAGATGAATCCATTGGCAAAAAATAGGGTGTTTGTAGGGCAGTGAGCTTAAGAGGAAAGAAGAACGCGTCCGAGCTGGGTCCCTGGGTAGCTAGTGGATGACAGGAAAGCTGAGAGGTGGACAGCCCACTCTGCACAGATGGGCAGCTTCCAAAAAGCAAATAGAGGCAGGAATCTTAAGTCATTGTAATTTAATTAAGTAATTTAAATCTCATAGGAGTTTCAAAATCCAAAATGCTTTCCTGTTTCTCCCTTCTAAAAGGATGTCACCCTTCAAGAAAGTGGATAATCAAGAATCAAAGAGCCAGTAGACCTCGGGGATTTAGTTAGCCCACGAAAAGTCTCACATCTTTACTAGGAAGATACGAAGGCTGCCCATTGATCTAAGAGTACAATTTTCTCAGTTTTCTTCTTAGTGATATGAGCCTGGCCTTTCTTGACCAGCCAAAACCCTGGCCAACTTTAGACCTTCATGGTATATGTATTAATGTATATTATTTTAAACATGAAAAAGTTTTCTTAATTTTTAAAAAAATTTTAATGTTACATTTAAGATATCTTAACTGTTTGAGATTAAGTTGTGTCATGAAGTTGTCTTTGTTATGATTCATGATGTGTTTTAATGGTTAACTCAAGAAAGAAAATATAAATGATCAATGAGTGTTTCAGGCTGTTGGTTCCTGTGACTTTCCTAATATGTTTTTCTCCTGACAGGTTGACCTGCCCTCTTAGCTCAGCAGTGGTTCTAGCATCCTATGCGGTACAATGTAAGTCACAAAGGGAACGTTTTACAGATGGACAAATTGTTCTGACCGACGTTATTAAGAAAGTCACTGGCCTTTCCTGACTGTCTGAGTCGCTACCCCTCTTCCCCAGGAATCCTGTTGGGCAAGCATAGCTCTGGTCGTCCAGACAGTTCCACTCTCACCCTGACTTGCACTCTCCTTCAGTTCCAGGATGATGGATTAAGGAGGGTGGTGAAGGGGAAAAGATGAGCTGTGGTGTGAGGGTTTCTCCCAGGCTTTGCTCACACAATGGATTTGATCTCCATAACTAATCTTAATGGGGCAAATATTTCCACCAGTCACCTCTTACAGACCCCAAACCGAGACCCACCTAAGTAAGTTAATGGAATTGGCTATAGACCACTCCTGCTACTTGCTTGATGCTGCTGTAGGCACTGCTGGGATCTTAGGAATTTATCTTTAGAGCTTCCATAGAGCTAATGGGTTATATATACTGTACGTTAGTCTACAGCAGCACTGTTCAATAGAAATATGTGAGGTGCATATATAATTTTAAATTTTCTAGTAACCATATTAAAAAAGTAAAATGGAAACAGATGAGATTAGTTTTAATATATTTAAACTCAGTCTATCAAAAATATTAATAATGTAATTGATGTAAAAATGACTAATGAGGTATTTTACTTTTTTTTTTTTTATACTAAGTCTTTGAAAACCAGTCACATTTTACACTTAACAGCACATCTCAGTTTGCACTAGGCCACATTTCAAGTGCTAATAGCCACATGTGGCTAGTGGCTGCCATATTGGGTAGAAAGTCCAGATGGATTTTTCCATCAAGGCTTTTTTAAGCCGGAGGAAGAATCTACTTATTCCAGTCAACAAAACTTTATTGAGCGTACATTCCACATCAGGCCCTGTGGGAAATGCTGGGTGTGCACAGTGCAAAGGGTGCACAGCCAGATGGAAGGAGCAGCGTCAGTTTATAGTTAGATAGCTGTGTGGTGCCAATACAGTGAGTCAACTCGTGTAGAGCTTCATGCTAGCTCAAGACTTAAGAAAGCCCCATGGGCTGGCCGAGTGGCTCAGTTAGTTAAGGGCTCGCTCAAGAGTTTGAGCTCTGAGCAACAGCAGTTCGATGCCCGGCCCAAGCTGAGCTGCCGCTGAGCTGCCAACAGGTGGCAGGATGGCTCAGCTAAAAAAAAAAGAAAGCCCCGCTACCTTCCCCTAAGCCCCACGCCATCTTGGCTGATTGCGGGGTAGCGAGTTATGAGAGCAAGATGGTCAGGTCACAGCGCAGGTGCCGGCTGAGCTCCTCAGCCTACCCTGGTCTCAGAAGAGGCGAAACAGCAAGAGGAGGCTGACAGGTTCCTTAGGGTGGCCTCACCCCTTTTGCTGCAACAGTCGGACATGTCTGAATGAATATTTCCATTTGCTGACTGCGGATGGAAACTTCCAGAAAGGCAGTTTAGGAAAGCAGATATATTTTATATATATATATTTTTTTGTGTTTTTCAAGAATGAATAATAGGAAATTTTTATACATAAAAATTTTGTCATTTATATACAAAGCAGCTCAAATTGTTGTTATTAAATGCATAAAGTAGTCAAAATACCAACTTTTTGTTTTTTTTGTGGATTTCTGACACATTTTGAAAAAAAAACAACTTGAAATCAATTAATGCAGCAAAAGGGTTAAGTCTGCCTACTCCCCTAGCAGCAAAGAACAGAAATGGGAGAGGTGAAAGAGCACAGTGGCTGGACCTGCAGCTTACCTGCCCACCTGCGTGATGCCAGGAAGTAGAAGAGAGACTTTTTTTTTTTTTTTTAATAATAGGGTCTTCTGTATCAATTTGAAAGTCATTATGTTTTTTGTTTTTTTTGTGTGTGTTTTTTTAAAGATTTTTATTGGGGAATTGGGGGATGGGAACAGTGCTGGGGAATTGGGGGAAGGGGAACAGACAAGTTGCTGTCGTTTTGTTCTTCAGTCTAGTTGTGGAGGACGTTGCTTCACTGGCCCAAGTTGGCACCATCATTGCCCTCTTCTGGGGTGAGGCAGATCAGTCGGCGGCTTCTGGACGGCCGCTCACTGCGGCTGCTGGCCGCTCACGCTGGCTGCTGGCTACACACGATAGCCCATGGCAACCCACTGCCACAGGGGCTGCAGCCTATGCCGTCGCCGGCGACCCATGGCAGCCCAGCTCCAGGCTGAGCTATTGTTCAGCATCTTAGCTGTGGAGGGCAGTGTCACTGGCCCTCATATGTGGGATCTGAACCGGGGCCCTCTGGCGTCCCAAGCCAGTTCCCAACGATCGCGCCACTCGGCCTGCCCAAGAGAGACTTTTAACAGTGACCCTACTCACTAATTAAGACAAGATCCAAGTGTTAGCCTTCCCCTAAAGGCTGTACCTCCTTCTCCCCAATGGGAAGCTCAGAAGAGGCTACACAGTGGTGGGCCTGGGTGGCTTTGAAAGTTCCCCCTCCCTCCAGCATATCTGGAACAGACCCAGCCATAGCACATCTGGAACAGACCCAGCCATGTCACATCCATTGGGGAAATGGCACGGTCACCAGGCAACTGTATTCTTACTGATCTCTAGACCTCGTGGACTCCATCTCTGCCAGGCTGATGAGCTGAGGAGACCAAGCTTCCCGACATCTCAGAGCAAGCTCGGTGTTCATAGGTAGAGCTTCGGGTTTGAGGGGCAGGAACACTATAAAGGACGTAGCTTTGGACGCAGTCAGATTTGATTTAAATTCTGGCTTTTCCATTTGCCACTTAGGTGAATCTCGGTTTTCTCACATGTAAGATGGAGGTGATGATGGTGATATGACAACTTGCAATATGGCTACTTGGTCCGAATAATACATGCGAAGGTTATCTATAACTAGAAACTCTTTGTAGTTGGACCATTGGACTCTTGCTATTAACCGAGTCAGTGAGAGCGCAGACTGAAGCCATATTACCTGGGTCTTGGGCTCTTCCACTTCCACCTGCGTGACCTTGAGCCCCTCCAGGCCTCAGCTTCTTCATCTGTCAAGTGGGGGTGGTAACAGTATCTACTTCATAGGGTTATAATGAAGATGAACGAGTTAGCACATGTAAAGCTCTTAGAATAGTGTCTGGCACATGGCAAGTGTTAACCATTACTGTATTTTCACATCTGCCCAAAAGAAAGCTCTCTAAAAGAACTGCCTGTTACAAACTCTATTTAGAGTAAGTTTTAAGAATAGAAAAAAAAATCCATTCTAAGCTTCAGTAGTGAGGCTCTCTGCAAAAGATTGATAGAATGGGGGCTAAAGAACGTTATTAGTACCTAAAAAGTACAAACAAACTTCAGTGGAAATATTAGCATGATTATCACATAAATAATATGGGTTGTCAGGCAAGCAGTTTCAAGTACAAATTGTTTATTCCTCAGTAACCCTCAGTAAATATGTATTTTTAATACTTTGTATGTTTCTGTAAGATTAATATTTGGATATCAAATTGCTGGATCAAAGGGTACACCTATACTTTCTCTGGTACAGTTTGCCCAATTGTCCCAAGAGGAATGTCTAATATGAAGATAAGTCCTACCTGGTCAGCGAATCAGTGAGCTACAAGCACATTTTCTTACTAGATGAAAAGTAAAGTGATCTGTGGGTGAAATACCGGAAAAGTCTTGGTGGTGGAAGATTGCTGGTGGCCTGTCCAGGGTTTCTGAGGCTCAAAGAATGAAGTTTCGGGAAATACATATTTACTTCATAATGTCCTCTGAGCCTCTGCCACGTGTGGGTTCTGCACTGGGCTCGGTACCCAGGCAGCACAGCCTCTCTGCGCAAGGGGGCCCACAGCCTGGGGGGAGGCAGAGATGGACCAGCTGGTGCGGCAGTGAGGATGAGCAGAGGATGCACTCCATCTGTGTGTGTGTGGGGGGGGAGTGTCTGAAAACACTTCCTAGAGAAGAGCCTCGAAGAGTAAGTGGGAGTTGGAGGAATAGCACGGAAAGGGCTTTCCCAGTGGAACAGCTGGACAGCTTGAAATTGCCTGCATTTGAGTACCTGCAACATACTCTCTTTCCTGCAAAATTTAAAAAATAGCCAGAAGAATGCCAGGAACTTAAAAGACAAGGTATTTCCCACATATAAACCCTCATTTTCTTTTCTTTCTGCTACAATTAGCTTTTGCTTGTATTGCTTCCCCACAAAAAGAAGAATGTGTTACTGTGGAGTTTAGGGCACGTGGTGTATTAAGTAGATAGTTGTGGACTATGGTCAGAGTGGAGGCTCCCAGTCACCAGCTGAACAGCAGTGGGCAGGGCAGGTCCCTTCCTTGAGCCTCAGTTCCCTTATCTGTTTAATGGGGATAAAAGCATTGCCTCCCACTGAGCTATCTAGTGGGATAATGTTGAAATCAACGTGGAAGCCACCCTGTGCTTGCAAATGTTTGCATATGACCGTTTAACTTTGTTTCCCCCTAGTGGTGAGCACAGGACATTACACAGAGCAGCCGACTAAGATGTCAGGGGAAAACCCTACAGGGAGGTTTATTGGTCGTGTGTTAAATTCAGAGGTTTGTCAGTGATTTGGCTAAAGAGAGAACCTTGCTGTTCATGTTTGCAGAAAGGCGCAGGGTTGGGACTGTTAGCTCATATGGTAGATGACCAAATCAAGACCCAAGAGGATCTCCTGAGCTAATGAAACCAACAGAGTAAAATTTAATAGGACTTGGCCTCGAGGCTCAGGAAAGTCGTTCGCAGCATTTGGTTACCCTCTAAGGACATGATCACTGTTATCAGCAAATGGGCAGCGGCAGCTCGGGCCTGGCAGGTAGGCTGGTGGAGTGGCAGGACCACTTTCCCGGGCATGAATCACCTGGGCTCTGGTCTTGACTGCTGCAAACTGGTTCTGTGATAGGAGTAAGTGCCTTCTCTCTGGACCTTAGCTTTTTCCCCTCTGACATCAGGAATTTGGATGAAATGATTCTAAGGCTTTCTTGGGCTTTCCTCTTTGGGGACCCGGTGTCAGGGCATGTAAATTACTTCCTGTAAATGCACTGTTGTACACTTCGCCATGCACAAACTCATTTGCAAGCCATGCTTGTGCTGATATCGTACAGCCTTGACGTTTGTGTCTACAGCTTGGCCACATTTGGCTGGCCTTCACGGCCTGCGATCTATCCTTGCCCAAGTCTGCACGCATAGATCACTTGGCTTTCTGCCCTCTTCCCCTTCCAAAATTGAACTTTGCGGTAACCTCTGTACCAATCAGTCCTGAGCACCACCTCCCTGAGCACCTACTGTGTGCCATGCCTCGGGGCTTGGCCCCAAAGATGAGTCTGGTCCACCCCTAGCCCTCAAGGAACAGTGTAAGGAGGGAACTGGCTCCTTCATTACAGTGCGGCTCTCAGAGCAGCCCATGGGCGTGATGGCGATTGAGGGTCAGCAAGGCTGAGTCGATGTAAAGAAAAATACCCTTGCATCTACCTTTCAACTTTGTGATGAGATTTCCCTAAGTGGCCACCTGGTTCATCTTTCCTTCTGAGATTGGCCGTGAAACATCGCCTCAGCTGTCCTCACCCCGTCCTTGTGACAGAGGGGCCGTTTGATTTAGAAATCGTCTGTGTTGAATGAGTTCTCTGAAACAATCGTGAGCCCTCAGAAGCTGCCTGGCATTGAAGCCAGCTGCAGGAGGAATTCGTTAAAACCTTTGGAAAGACCTGGGTTCATATTTTTAAGAAAAAGATGAAATAGTCATTTTTGTTTTGTCATGTGAAATACTGGATTAATTGCCCATCAGAGCTAGAAATTGCCTTTCTCCTGTTTTGTTTTGTTTTTTAAAGATTTTTTTATTGGGGAATTGGGGGGATGGGAACAGTGCTGGGGAATTGGGGGAAGGGGAACAGACAAGTTGCTGTCGTTTTGTTCTTCAATCTAGTTGTGGAGGACATTGCTTCACTGGCCCAAGTTGGCACCATCATTGCGCTCTTCCCGGGTGAGGCAGATCAGTCGCTGGCTTCTGGACGGCCGCACAGAGCAGCTGCTGGTCACTCACGCTGGCTGCTGGCTACACACGGTAGCCCATGGCAACCCACTGCCACAGGGGCTGCAGCCTACGCCGTCACCGGCGACTCACGGCATCCCAGCTCCAGGTTGAGCTGTTGTTCAGCATCTTAGCTGTAGAGAGCAGTGTCACTAGCCCTCACATGTGGGATCCGAACCGGGGCCCTCTGGCGTCCCAAGCCAGTTCTTAACCATCGTGCCACTCGGCCAACCCAGCGTTTCTCCTGTTTTTTGACGGATGGAAAAAACTAAGTCTTGGAGAAGAAAAGCGCAAGCCAGATCCTTGGCACCCCACCCAGGGGTTTTTCCCAGTTTCTTCAACAGTCCAGACACCCAGATGGTTTGAGTCCTTAGGGCAGCCGTGTATACTTGTACAGGTTGGGCACTGCTCAACTCTCAGGAATACTTCTCACACCAGACATCAGTGGATCGTGTATGCAGATGGCAGTCAAGGCTCCCGAGCGAGAAGTACCATTTGGAGCAGGGACCAGTCTGGGAGCTCCTCTATAAGGCCCCCTTTCCTCTGCCCTCTGGCTGCAGGTCCCCAGCGTGATTTCCCTGACAGCCCAGCATCTGTCTTCCGATCTTCTGCCTCTACCCTCACCCTTGCCACGGCCTAGACCCTTCAGCCCCACCCACTCCCATCCCTTATGCTCCTTACTACTTTTCCCCCTCCTCCTTCCCCTCCCCCACAGCCTCTGAACACATCCTGGTTTCCTTTCTTCCACACTCCCTGTATTCCAGGGAATGGGTCAGCGTGACCTCTCTTCTGCCCTCACCCATTTTTTATAGCAGGCTGGTCCAGTGTTATAATAACCTTGAGGTACTATAAAGAGAGCGCCTGCACAGTGCTAGTATAGGTGTACAGAGTTGCATTGTTCTGAGTGGGTTCTCTTATTTTTCTTCATCCAGGGGGTATGAGCACACACTGCTGTGCTGCCCAGAGGATGGAACAGATATGGGATTAGAGCAGGACTTAGATTTGAACAGTCCCCCTTTCTTCCTCATGTGGCTTCAGGGAGAGAATTTGGTTGGAGCACACACGGCAGCCTTTAGACTATAGGGAGGGTTGAAGTAATAGATGTGGAATCTGGAGCTCAAGGGGAAGTTCAAGTTCACATGGTGGCAGAACTTTTCGGAAGAATGTTTCCAATTACTGTTTTTCTTGAGGTGCTATGAATGCTTGTGAATACGGACCCTGTTGGAAAGGCAATTTTCTCCTCATTCTGTCTTTGTAGCTCATTTTGGAGACTATGATTCTTCCATTCATCACCGGGGCTATCTTTCTGATAGCCAGTTTATACCAGATCAGAGCGATGACTTTTTAACAAAGGTGGAATCTCTGCATGAACAACACAGGTGAGAGGGGGAATGGGGTGGCCACTTTGGGAGCCTAGGTCCAGTATTGTCAGACCCCGTGTCCCATTGTGTTGGATGTGTTCTCTTTCTTTTGTTCACAAATCCTCTTTCAAGATCTTGGGGGTTGGCGAACTTTTGAGCCGTTACGATGGAATATATATTTGGCATAACTGGCATTTCTGTAAAGTGTAAAATCCAGTAAGAGTTCAGGGTGACTTGCTGTGTTCTTTTTCAGGATGTTGTTGAAATTCGTTAACTCCTGAAGGAAATGCCCGTTTTAAATCTGACTGCTCCACAAATTGACCCTACCAGGCAAACCTTTTAACAGTTTGCCACATTCAATAAAATAGGCCATTCCTTCAGGAAGGCTTGGATAGACAGGCAGATGGGTTAGCCTGTAGCCCTCTCTGGCTTCAGGTCATAAAACTGCCTCACTTCCACAAGGGAGCACCTCTAGCCAACCCTCCACCCCAACAAACATACCCGATCTGACCCCTTCTCCCTTGCCTCATCTTACTCAGGTGGCCCTGCTGACCGGAAGGCCAGGTCTCAAGGGACCGCACATGCTTGAGAAGGCCATAAAAACGAAGGCCAAGCACCCAGCGTCCCTTCTGAAAGGCACTGCCAATCCTCTCTCCCAGAATTGCTCCCCAGGCAGAAGCCAGCGTCCTAAAATAGTACAGTGACGTTTGGAAGAAGTTTGAGGCTGCTGCTGAACGGATAGATAAAGGCAGAAAGACCTAAAGAGCAACATATTAATTAAGCAACTTGGAATAAGGAGGGTTTCGAAAGGTGACGGACTTCGGTCTCTGAATGTTGAGAGCCTATGAAATGAGAAGTATTATTTCATAAGTGAGTGTGCTCAATGAAGTCCTATTCAGTGGGCCAGGAGGAAAACCTGGTTTAGTAGAATTTGGGGTTCAGTTAAGATGAATAACAGTAGGCGTTTAATAATGTTATAGTAATGCTATCAAATTTTTTAGATTTTTTTTTTTATTAATTTTAAAAATTGGAGTTAATGTCCCCTGTTGGTGAGCTCTGCATCTTCTCTCTTCTGTAGTGGGCTGAAGCAGTCAGAAGCCGAGTCTTGCTTTATCAACATAGCACGGACCCTCGACTTCTATGGAGTGGAACTGCACAGTGGGAGGGTACGTATCCTTGGCGCATTTGCTTCAAAAAATTATGTTGATTTTTAAGTTTCTGAAAGTTTGAAAACACCTTCTGAACTCTTGGAGACAAAGACCTTTTTTTAGACATTTGGAAGCTTATAAAGTAATATGGAGTTTTGCTGGGGTTTTTACCCAATTGTTTTTTTTCATGTTTGCCTTTGTACTTAAAGACTATTTACTTCTGGGGAGTCAGGGAAACAATGAATTTGTGTGCAGCCATTTTATACTATGGTGAAAAAGCAAAAAAAAATGTGTATACATCTGTTTTCTAAGTAACACTTTTATGAGCTAAGGCTTTTACTATTTAATCTCAGTGCTGCTCGAATTAGAGCTAATGACTCAAGTATCATTCTTTATAAGTTATGGTATGATTATGAAAGTCGAAAAAAGATTTTATATTGTTGTGGCCTTTTGAATATAATTGACTAGTATCTGTCGTCTCCTGAGGACTTTCTGTCTGCCAGACACAGTAGCTTGTTTGTTTCCCATGTGATGCCATGAAGTGAGGATTAATTACCATTACCCTCGTTTTACAGATGGAGAAACTGATACTCAGGGATTTATCAAAGGTCCCATAGCACATAAGTGGTGGCTTCAGTACATGACCCCAGGACTGTCTAATTGGTATCTGACCTTTACTTCTCCACCTGTAATTGGCCAACATCATATCAAAGACGCAAATAATTGGTTGAACACATAGTGTGTAGTAGCCATTGTTCCAGATGCTCTTATATGACACCATAAGGTCTCATTTAAAGGTTATAGTAACCTTGTGAAATCAGTGTTCTAATCTTCCCATTTTACAGTTGAGAAAACTGAGGCTCAGGAAGTTGAGTAAATGACCAAACTTTAATATTTTTGTAATTTATAGAAACACTTTCTTCGGTCCTATAACTGTGGTGGGCGAGTTATTACATAGGTACTAAGGTAGGAAAAAGATATTGGATCTTACAGAATACCAACTTGACCGTGAACTTTTATTCCAACTGCAAATACGTAATATTTTGTCTCTAGTGGAATGCTGTACGGAACTTTCTTCAGTAAAGTGAGCTTTATATCTGCCTGAGTTGATCTGTGCTCTCCCCACACCCAGTGCCCTTTGAGGATCCTGAGGCCAGATGATCACCTGCCTGGCTGACACCTCCAGGGTATCAGATGGAGTTGGGTTATCCCTGGCTATGCTGCATCAACCAAAGCCCCCTGAACCTCGAAAACTTCATGCCACCAAGTTTCTCAGTAGATCAAAGTCTGCCGTGGGTCCCAGTGACCCTCCAGAGCAGCCTTCTCCATGTAGTGACTCAGCAGTCTCGGTTGCCGCTGTCTTATGGTGTCACCCTCTTAACACATGGCCACGTGCATGTCATAAGGGAGGAGGAAGCTGGAGGGTTGCACAGCAGCTCTTAAACAGTTTGGCTCAGAAGAGACCCGCCATCGCTCTGACCAGAGTACATTGACCAGAACTGGTCACATGGCCCTGCCGTCTACAAGTGGAGCTGGGAGACGTGGGGATGGGCGTGGGAATTTAGTGATCGGTACCTGTTCGCGCTGCCCAGGGTTGAGGTGCAGACTGAAAGACCACAGAACAAAGAGATTTGAGACCCAGGTCACTGGCTCACCCACACCGTTCATTTATTTCCCTATTCTGCACTCAATTTTGATTTCATTTGCTGATTTGTTTTTCTATCCCACCTGCTTACTATTTCCCTATATTTTAACCCCAGGTATCGTGTTTAAATGCAGCCCTGGTTTTCACCATGCATATCTGGTTTTGCTTTAAGTATATGATTTCAGTTGGGTGCCCAATAGTGAATACTCTCTGGATTCTCCATTATATTGGCACTGTTTCTTTGGCTAATTGCCCCAATTCCCATGTTCACATTGCTGTTCAAAGGTTGTTTGTCCTAGGCCCTGTTCTACATTCTTATATTCTCTAGTTTCAGCTGGATAAAAACCCTTAGAGGGGGGTTTGATAATCCATATTATACAAAAGAAAAAATAGAGGCTTAGTAGCCCAAAATAACACAGCTAGTAAGTGCAAACTGTGTCAAACTGTGCCCCTTCTTTATAATTACAAATATCTGATTGGGTAAATAGGGTTCTAGACGACTCAAGGGAAGAAACTGTTTTCTTTTAAATTTTCTTCACCTTGTTCCCAAACACACACTTACACAGCTTATAGTCGCTGTATCTTCCTTCTGTATCTTTGTCCCTAGCACATAGATTCTTAATACGTGTTGAATTTAGTGGATTTACAGGTATTATTTACTTCTTCATTGGATTTAGAGTCAGCAGTTCTACACTTTGTTACAGTAGCTAAAGCCTTTTCAGTGATTTTCAGTGATGGGAGTTGAGATTTGTATGAAGCTGTGCAGGGGGCGAGACCTTTTTAACTTTAATATGATATCTAATACTAATTGTTGAAAATGTAAAATTGCATGTGTATTTCAATGGAATGAGTGGGCTTGCCTGGTAACTTTCTAAACCGGTGGAACAGGTGTTGCTATCAGGCAGTGTGCACTCTCTTTAGAAGAATCTGGCGCTAAGTACTTGGATCTGGAGTGTCAAGAGGGAACTTTTGCCTGTTTCCCATAGCATTTTCCCTTTGGAGCTTATACATATTGCTATTTATAGAAGCCTGGGTGCTGGAGTTACCGAAGGACATGAGCATGACCATAACACACTGAATCTGAGGCCTTCCTTTTTACAGGATCTGCACAATTTAGATTTAATGATTGGAATTGCTTCTGCGGGCATCGCTGTGTACCGAAAATACATTTGCACAAGTTTCTATCCTTGGTAAGTGCAAACTGGTTCTAATTATTTTCTGAATCATGCTTTAAAAATATGCTAAACAAAAGTAACTTACGTCTAATTTTAAACTTTTATTTTCTAAAGAAGAGATAGAGGCTTTCTCCCAAGTTGTTGCCTCTGACCCCTGAATTTCACCCAGATTCAGCACTTGAGAAAGTTAGTTTGTGTCCGTTGGCCTCTCCTTTCCCCCCACCCTCACCCCCTGTCACCCTGTGCTTTAGATGCTCCATGGCAACGTGGATAAAATGGCACAAGGCAGGTGTTGGAGCTAAGGAATCCCGGGCAGTGCATTGGCCAGGACTCAGAGAACTTTCTCTGGGCAGGACCTGTATTTTCAGTGCAGTTCCTTAGTTATTAATTGAACTTTTACCAAGTGTTCAGTTCTGGTCTCAAAATTCCAGGGACCCAAGACTTGAATCTTCACAAGAAGACTCCATTGAGGAAGGCAGTGCTGTCCCCACTGTTCAGAAGGCTTCGTAGTGGAGGACTTGAGAGGCACAGGCCAGGCTCAGATCCCTGCTCCAAGCTTTCCTAGTTGAATGGTCTTGAGCACTTAGGGGATGTCTCTGAGCCTCAGTTTCCTCCTCTGAAAACTGGGCATAGTAAACCATACTTTTCAGGACTGCTGCAAGGCTTCGTGGAAGGATTGCTTGTAAAGCTCTTAGTAGGAGACCTGGTATATAAAAGATGCCCGCTTAATGGTGGCTGTCTTTGTGTTGTAATGCAAACAATAGAGAGGCTACCTGACACACAGCTGTTAAGTAACAGGAGCTCGGATGTGGCTCCGGGTCTGTCCGGCTGCTGTCTGTCCTCTTTCTGCGGCTCCACACTGCCCTCAGCTGTCTTTCCCAGGTACACACCAGCTCATGCGGAGCTGCAGTGTCACAAAAGCAGCTGCCAGGACAGAGAGCGCGTTGCCTATGGTTCTTGTTGTTTGAAAGCTACAGCATAATCCAGTGGCCCTTGTGTGATACTTGGCTTCAGTCAGCTATTTGGTGTGCCCGAGGCAATGGGGCCGCCATCATTTCTACACTGAAGTGAACTCTGGGAAGCCGAGCGCCCCAGTCACCATCGTGGAGTAGAGGACACACATTGAGAGGCGTCAGCTACAGCCCCGCTGATCCCTGAGGTGCTTTTTTTGTGTTTTATTTTTTTCAGGGTGAACATTCTAAAAATTTCTTTCAAAAGGAAAAGGTTCTTTATACATCAGCGACAGAAACAGGTGAGTTATATCTACACTTGCTTTGTTTCTTGATTTTAGCCATTTTTCAGCTCTTAGTCCTTCAGCAGGTGAGGGCATTTTGCCACATATATTAACAGGAAGGGAAGAGCAAGACATATGGTGGGAGGAAAAGGGAAGCCGGAGCCCGGGGTACCCAGCCGTTCTCGGTATACTCACCCTGCTTAGCTGGTTGGAGAAGTAACTTGCTTTGAGGTCAGAGACGATGGGTCCAGGTCCTAGCGCTTCCACTTACCCATCAGGCAGGTTACTTAACCTCCCCTGGCCCGAGTTACCTTATTTATAGAAATGCAGTAATGCCCGCTTCTCGGGGAATCTTGAGGATTAAATCAAAGAGCACTGGTCAGAGCACCTGGCACCGAGCAGAGTAGCAGTAAATGTCAACATGGTCAGTTCCTCCCTTTGATGTGTTTAAAATGCACACTGGCCTTCATACATGCCTCCTAAGAGGATCCAGGCTGTCTAGATAACTCCGTTTGGTTATGCACACGGGGGAAAAGGGCTTAGCAGTGAGGAAGCTGAGGCTCCCACAGCTCCTAGGTGGAGCAGCTGGAATTTAAATCGGGGGTGCCTGTTCTTTCCCCTCCACCACGCTCTGTCTTGTTAGGCCGCATAGTTTTCACTTACTGTCACCATGTCCATTTCCCAATTTTTCAAAGATACTATGTGCCTAAAATGGCTCCCCATCGCAGTGAGCACTTAGAAATGAGAACACTAAAGCCCAGAACAAACGAGGACTAAAATCTGGGTCCCCTGAGCCCCCAGGGCAAGATTCAACGTGGCCCCCAAATGCACAGGATGGTAATTTCACATGAAAACAGAAAACCTAAACTCAGGCTGAAGGGAAAGCAAATAACTGAAGTGATTATTCCACGTGAGCAGTAGATTTAACTCTGCTTTGTGGAAAGCAAATAGAGAAATCCAAACTGTTCCAAAACTTCTGTTGTCTGGTAGGTGAAAGATTGTCCCTCCAGGGGAGAGAATTTCCCAGAGCTAAATTTTCAAAGGCACACACCAGGCAGCCCTTATCTGGTTGCTCCAAATGTATCCAACCTAGAAATAAATGTAAGCCCATTTGAAATGAACCTGTTCATGAAGGACCACAGACACTGAGGAAGAGTAGACTCGGGCCACCTTTACCATGTTAATAAGATGGTGAACAAACTCTGCTCGTGCATAGCCCTGTAACACTGGGCTGTGGCCCGAGGCATTTTGAAGCTGCTTTTCTGTGGTCTGTTGGATCTTACCTGACTTGCCACTGACTGACGTGGCGTAAAACGCCCTGAGCCCTTTCTCCTACGTCTGTGCAGATAAAACCTCTACTATGTGTTTTCCTCCCAGACTGAATCCAGGGAACATATTGTGGCCTTCAACATGTTAAATTACCGATCTTGCAAAAACTTGTGGAAATCCTGTGTCGAGCACCATACATTCTTTCAGGCAAAGAAGCTACTACCTCAGGAAAAGAATGTTCTGTCTCAGTACTGGACGCTGGGCTCTAGGAACCCCAAAAAGTGAGTATACCTTAGTCTCCACACTAGCCTGAGATGTACACGTGTCCTGGTCACCACTGGGTAGTGGACATACTCCATCAGGGGAAGTGACGCTGTCGCCCAGGGGCCCCAGGCTCTGGACAGAGCTGCTGGGGATCTGGGAACCGTGGTTGAAAGGTCTCTAGAGGCAGCGGTGTCTCTTTCCACACATACTCAGATACTGTTTACATTCCCATCACTTGTTTCTGGGATGAACAAGCCTTCTCAACTCTGCTGTCCTCTGAGCTCCCAAGGAGCCAAAGTTACAGCTGTTCCCACACCAGGTCACAATAAGGGGAGCATGTGGCAATGACTCAAGGTCACCGTGGTGCCTGGCATATGCGCTTTCTTGGCCTGTTGCCACTAAGACAGCTTCTCCCACAAAACATTAATTCCCCAAGATGCTCTGTAATAATGAATGAACAGAAATAAAGATTTCCAGAGTCAAGTGACTTTGGGATATGCTATATATAACAACCACGAAATAACAGTAATATTTACCCTGGTCAATTATTGAGTGCTTACTTTGTACCATGCACATAATTATATTTAATTCTTAAAACAGTCCCATGTGTGTACTGTTATCTACAGGAATAATATTCAAAATGTTTAATGAGTAGTACAGTGAAAAAAATTAACCTATACATTTTTACCTTTTAACGTAGATTAAACTTCTTCTGTAAATAATCATGCAGTTTATATTTTTGTGTGTTTATTTGTTCCAAGACCTCCTCCTAAGTATACGATGTAGCAGAAATGATCAGTTGTTCTTATAATATTTCAATTGTTTGTTGGTTTGAAAATTGTTTTTGTGATTTTGCATTGTGGATGTGGCTGTTACTGACTAAACAGTGTCTCTGTGTGAGCCAGTACCTGATACGTGGGACTTTATCAGACTATTCCAGTGGCTTCCCTGTTACGTTGATAATCATTTAGTAACTATAGATTCAGTCAGTAGCAAGTTTTCTATTAGGATCAGTAATCGTATTTATGGTGCTAAATACTCTCAGCTTCTGATAAACCAAAAGCAAATACAGTTTCGAAGTTTTTTGCTCTTATGATATACTGTCTAGTATTTTATACATTCTAAAGCTATACTGCAGAATAAGTCATGAGCACAGTTTATTGGAAGGTAGCACATATTTTCTTCGGTTGGACCAGCTGGCAAGTAGCATGAGCAACTGAAAGCATGGACACTGTTGCTGAGCATCCCAGGTTCAAATGCTGCCTGTGCCACTTTACTTTGCTGCTTCAGTGTCCTCATCTGTAAAACAGAGCCAACATGGGATACAGAGGAGGGGAAGTCTGGTTATCCATGGTAGCATGACAATGCTACCCCTGTTTTGGTAGCTTAAAGCAACAACCATCCTACATCTTACAATTTTGTGGGTCAGGAACTCGGGAAGACCTTAGCCACAGAACTCTTCCGCTCCATGTAATATAGACTGGGGCTCAGTGATCTGCATCTGGTGGCTGGGCAGGTCTGAGGGTCACATACCTGGTGCCTTGATGGAATGATAGGAAGGCCGGGCGCACCTGGAGCCCCCCCCCCGCCCCCGGGTTCTCAGGATCTCTTCGTGTAGACTGTCCAGCAGGGTAGTTGGATTTCTTACCGAGGCTCAGGGCTCCAAGAACCTGAGGCAGAAGTGGCTGATCATCTCAAAGTCTAGGCCTAGGACTGGCACAGCTACTCTTGGTCAGAGTAGTCACAGGCCAGCCCTGATTCAAGACTCAAAGAACCTGCAGCCATCTTTTCATCTGCCACTGGGGGTCACTTGGGATGTGGGGGCTGGTTCAGGGGGCACAGGTCAGCAGTTCTGTACTACCAATATCAGCCTCAGCACACTGGCAAATTTCAGCCCTCATTATCTTCATATTATAGATGGAGAAACTGAGGCTTAGGTTCCTTGATTGGCCCAACCCCTAGAGATACATCTATAATACACAGCTGTGCATTAGGCCCCTGAAAGGTTCCACATAAAAGAGACGTGTTCAGTATTTTCCAAGCTTATAGGACAATGGAACACTTTTATTTTTCCCCGAAGAGTACCTATTAATAACCTGTGACACATACTTTGGGGAACTGCTACATTAAACCTTTGAATCACTTGGCTTGCTGCCCTGGTTCTGATGCCATGCTCTCAGTCAATGGTAATGTTGTTTCTGATGTAGATCCTCCTAGCAGTAGTGCTCTGAGCATTTTGATCAGGGTACAAATAGTGTTTCTTATGGTAAATTAGTGCATTGATATCCTAGGAGGTGTTTCGTGCGTCTGTGTTGTTTGTATTCGTTTGGTTTTTGTTGTTTTTGTTGTTGTTGTTGTTGGTTTCAGGCTGCAAGGAACGTGTGGCATGTTTTAATAAGATATTGAAACATTGTTTAAAATTTAGAAATGCCATAACTGAGTTGCCCTAAACTGGCTTTAAACTCCCATCTTCTCAAGTAGTTCATTCTGTAAAGGGTCTAGGTAGCTAAGATTTAAATTCTCTAGGTACAAATAAAATTCAGAAGTAACTTTCAGAGCGGCACAAAGAACACGACCTGAAATTCTAAGCAGAGCCTCAGGACTTCTCTCAAAGAGGTATCGGTGATTTACAGGGACAGCTTCTGTCAATAGGATGACGAAAAGCACCTAAAAGGATGGAGAATGTTTGTACTCATGCTGGTGTGAGTCCAGTGAGAATTCCTTGAAGTCACTTAACTATATCTCTCTGTTATCCTGAAATTCTTTCTCCTCTGGTAAGGCTCGGTTATATTCTGGAAGCAACTTGGTAGCTTGCAGTAGTATGAACAAGAAAATATCTTCACCAGAAGAGAAGGGATAACATCCGGAAAAGCCAGGACAGAAAGGAATCGCTTGTACCTTGCTACTCTTCGTAACGTTGCTGAGGTCATCAAGGTGTTACCCAGCCATCTGAGAGGGAGTGTGTGTAGTCTGTTTGCTTCATTTATGCTGTAATTTCTTTCTTGTTGAACATGTTAGTGTAGAAAGTCAACCTACATCTGGTTTTTCAGGTCTGTAAATAACCAGTATTGCAAAAAGGTGATTGGAGGGATGGTCTGGAACCCAGCCATGCGGAGATCCTTATCAGTGGAGCATTTAGAAACCAAGAGTCTGCCTTCCCGGTCCCCTCCTATTACTCCCAACTGGTATGTTCTTTTTTTGTACTACCCACTAGTAAACACTTTATCTCTTTTGAAAATAAAAACTCAATAAATTCCTAAATAGAAATAGATGACCTATAATCAGAGTTTACATGTGCAGGTTTGGCTATTGCAGAAGTAACTGTTTGCATGAGATACACAAGTCTAGCTAAACATTTTCTTTCGTGTATAATGCCAGGGTGTTCTTTAAAATGTTATTTGGTCTAAATAAATTTGAGAGCTGCAGCCTACTGAAATGCCCCTCTTGGAATGATACTGCACGTTAGCATATTAATACTCTACCAAGTCCTGCGATAGAGGCACAGTTATCTTTCTTTAATCATGTGTTTCCTGTTAAACATCCCTTAAAATAAATTCGGGGGAACCTAAATAAGGTTAGAGATAGAACTGACCCTGAGCAACAGTAGCAAATACACATGGGGAAATAGCCCGCCAGCTTTTCTGATGATGATGGACTTCGCTAAAAGGAAGGAAGTGGCAGTTTGTAGCTGAAAGACCCAGTCTCAGATTTTGGCTCTTCTGTTAATTAACAAGTTTCTCTACCTCCCTAGTCTCAGGCTCTCCATCTGTAAAAGGATGATAAAAATCGCCTCAAATGAAATACTAATGTACAAGTGCTTTAGTGAGCTAGAAACACAGGATGAGGTGGAATGATTTATTATAATGTTCCCCAAAGACATCGGGCCAATTTTGTGCATGCCTCCAAAACAGCCAGGCAGCAGCAGCAGCAGCAGCAGCAGCAGCAGCAGTAGCAGCAGTAGGGGAAACCAGGCCGGAAACGTTGCCCCAGTTCCACGCTGGGATAAGAGCATGGCTCTTTGTTCATTTCATGAAAGACAGGTGAACCTGTAAGTTCTCGAGCAGGGATCTGCTAGGACTGAGGGACCTTGTAAAATATAACAGGCTAAAAAGGAGCTATTGTGCAGGGCCACTGGGTGAGGACCTCCCACTGGAGCCAAATGCCCTGGGCAGGGGTGATGATGCTCTTAGTGTTAGAAATCTTAACATGGCTGCGTAGACTTGCTTCTTGGTTTCCAAGATTCAGGCACCACGTCCTTAAGTGGTAAATTTATGCTATCAAGTAGCAGCGTAATTTGTCTGAAAGCCTCTTAGGCAGCGATGCCAGGGCCCCAGAGATGCCAGGGCCCCAGAGCGGAGGCCCAGGACCACATCCAGGAGAACGGAGGGGTTTGATGTTGCCACACCCTTGGCCGGAAGCTCTTGTTGCTATTTATAGGTCCTCTCCTGAGGAGTCACGAGCCTGTCTACTCTACTTTGGACACAGTGTTATTGATTATCCAGGCCCAGGGGATTGCGAATAGTGGAGGCCCTGACAGCCCCAAGGAGAAATGGCTAACCAGGGGAAGGTGGAAAAACTGAGGGAAAATAGAACTTAGAAAGCTCAACGGCCTGGAATCACCCACTGCAAGAGCTGGTGGCCAGGTGCTGCCCCAGGCATCCTGAGAACATTGCCTCATCTATCATTCTCAGGAACAGGTAGGTACAGCTGAGGCCCGGAGAGGTGGTGTGGCTTGTCCAAGGTCACACAGCTGTGGCTGCTCCTGGAGGAACGGGGATGCTGGTATGTCCCTCTGATACCACAGATGGGATGTATTTTTGCAAAGCAGACGTTTCCTCTTGGATCAAATGAAATGCACATGGATGGATATAGAATAGTTGAAATAAGATTTTCGTTTTGCCAAAACTGTACCTTGGCTTCTAAACCCTGTATTTATACTGTTCAGAAAAATGGCCTGATCAGCAGTCAATAGGGGCCTGTTTTTTATGCATTGAGGACTTGAGTCCTTCCAGAAGAACGACTTAACCTAAGTCAACACCCAGTGCCTTCCCAAAGGGCATAAACCAATCTCATATGCCTATTTATAAAGCGGAGCCTACTGCTCGGGGGACGGTACCCCTGGCCTGAGAGTGTCAGGGACCCGTGCGGCCTTTGGTAGATTCTGGTGTAGTCATGGGTTAACCGGCTCTTAATTTCCAACAGCATCTGCCAAGACATCTTTAGAAAGGTCAGGGCACAAAGTTAGATCACCGATGTCTGATAAAAGTTTTTAAGTGGAATTTGCTTTCAACACTTCACACTCCACTTTTTTCCACCCAGGCGAAGTCCTCGGCTCCGGCACGAAATCCGAAAGCCACGGCACTCTTCCGCGGATAACCTCGCCAACGAAATGACATACATTACCGAAACCGAGGATGTGTTTTATACCTACAAGGGCTCCCTCTCCCCAAAAGACAGCGATTCCGAGGTTTCTCAGAACCAAAGCCCACACCGAGAGTAAGAAACTTGTGTTATTTATTCTCTTTCTTTTTATCTGCTTGTTTGGGCGGTGGAGGAATTTGCTCAGGCCCAGGTGGCCAGTTAAGAGTCGTGAAGGGCTGAAGCCTACAGCTGGCTCCCTAGAGTGCTCTCTGTTGGGGTGAGAACCTGCCTCACCCTCCCTCCCTTATCCCAAGGAAGACACGCTGTATGCCTGGGGTCCAGGGCTTGCTCTTCTGAAGGCCTCACACCCTCCCAGGACTGTTAGCTTTCTTGAGTGGCCTCCTCTCCAGTGAGTGAGCAAAGCCCAGTTTAAGTCCTCCCACGTTCCAGAAATATAGACATGTTATCCGTAGCAGCATTTCTCTAGATTGTCCTGGTTTTTCCACTGCCGGCTTCCAGATCACTAGAAACATGCTTAAGTTTAGCTCTTCCCAGAAAGCCCTCAGTACGCCGCCAGGGCTTTTGTTTTCTTTTTATTTTCAATGAATAGTTAGTATAGAGCAAAAACGTGCATAGAACATCTCTGATTTTTCTGTTCAATTTTTGTCAAGGACAGTTTGCATTAAATTCTTGTACGTCCCCACTTTCCTTTTTTGAATGTGACCAACTCTTCTCCCACCTCAAGGCCAGGGGAAAAAAAGTCTCGCCTAAAATATTGGTTTGAGTCCTATTATTATTCAGTAAGATATATTGAATTCACCAGTTTCCTTTTGACTTAATTACCGGGGGGCTCAGAGCTCCATGTTACGCTCAGTTGAATTAGCTTCCCTCAGCTCAGGGTTTTGATATAGTCACTCTCCTTCCTCCCTTACTAATGGGTCTGATTTTCCCCCTTGTTTTAGTGAATTCACAGTTCTATATTTCTGTACATTTTAAAGTAAGCTATCTCAAACCATTTTTTGAAGTGGTAAAGACGTGGATCATAAATAAATAAAATGATGTTTTAAGCTAAAGTATGATAGGAATAGATCCACTGTGAGGAAGTCAGCTGTAGTCATTGGGTGTATCCACTCTGTGAAGTCCATTATTATGCCCAAAATATAGAAACATGAGGCCTCCTCAAACAGCATAGGGTTAAGCAAGAAGGCCCTTCAGTTAATCTGTACATTTTTACCACTAGCTGCTGATTTCCAGCAGTAAATGCATCCTGATTGTACTCTAGGCCTCACAGGCGAATTGCAAATCTTGTTTCCCACTTACGTGTGAGGTTGCTGTCTCTCTTGCTGTCCCCGACCACAGCAAACGTGGCTTCCAGCTTATCTGTGTTCTTAACACCGCTAGTTAAAAAGTCCCTCTGGTCATTATTTCCTTGTGATGTGAGCTTGGACGATGCTTTTGTTGAAATGATCACTGTCTCTTGCTCCAGTTTGCAGCCCTGTTGAGGCTCCAGTGAAAAGATATGAGTTCCTTTGTGTGACACTGGCTTTGCAGTTCTAGAAAAATAAGGCTCGAGTGCAGGCGTGCATGACTTGAACCAGTTTGAGTCTGCAGTGGGGCTCTGGCGCTTGGATGAAAGGACAGGGTTGAATGAGAGACTGACCAGGGGCTCTGGGAAGCCCAGTCCCAGCCTTGCGTCAGGCCTTCCTCCTGTGGTTTGCAACCCACCATGGAATCGTGGAGCACCTAGACCTTCACAGTCCAATACAGGAGCCACTAGCCACATATGGCTGTTTGAATTTAAGTTCACTAAAATTAAATTTAAAATTCACTTTCTCAAGCCCTGTTTGATGTAAGTAATTTCTGGCCCTGCTCACCCCTACGCACTGTACATCAATTCTTTCTGAAACTCCTCCGTGAGACCTTGTAAGATGCGTCATCCTGGGGCACTTTTTATTTTGCAGCAAAGTATTAAAAATAGCAAATAATGGTGATTCCAAAGCTGCCTTCCTTGTGGTGGTTTTGCCAGGTGTACTGGCAATAGACAGCTCACGGAGTCGAGTCAAGTTAGCGCCTGTGCTTGGAAGGTGGGGTGAACATTTGAAAAATTACAGCCCCCCCCCACCTCAGGTAGGGGACCCCTTCTTGTTGATAGAAAGCTGCCTGTTGCTGGGTCTTCAGAGGCAACTGGTGCCCCTGAGAGTCTGGGGGTTCTCCATTGCCCAAGGTAAGAAGGAAAGTTTGGTCTGTATGTGGTAGGGAAAAAAAAAAACTGTGGTGGTTACTTCAGTGAGTATTTGCAAAATGTTTAAGAAACGCTTGACGTGTTTTATACAGCAGATTTGTGTTAAGAGGCAAAAAGAAGGTTTCTGTCAGAGAAATCAGATGAATAATATCACAGGCAGCGAGGAGGGTTCCTTTTAGAAAGAACAATTACGTGTAATGTTCTGTCCCCCTTTAAGCAAAAAGAAGAAAGAGGAAGGAAAAAAGAGGTTAGACTTCAGCTATAAACCCAAAGTGGTGCAGCTCGGGGTCTCTGAACATTATCTGAGCTGATGAGTCACCCGCCGGTTTGCCCCATATTTATAGCAGCACAGCAAAGATTGTGATTTTAGGTATGAATCCTTGGCAGTTTGCTTTGTGCCCAAGCAGGCTGTATTCATTCCTCCCAGGGTTCTCTCAGCCATTCTGTGCTCCTTTCCTTGCTTCAGAGCAAAGGCCAAAATCTGCAGAGAAGGAGGTTTCCTTCATTGCAAAAAAAACCCAAAAAACCAAAATAGACACAACCAAAAACCAACCATCCAGAGAAATTCAAGGGGACATTCCCTGAAGGAAAAAAGACTTTGCAGAACAGACTCTGGAGGAAAACAAGTTTTAGGGCAGATTTGGTTTTGATGTGGAGGACTTCGCTGTTGTTTTATCACAGTTGTTTGTTCTGTTTTGTTGTGTGTTTTTTTTAATTTTGTTGGGGAGCAGTGTGTTTTTCCAGGACCCATCAGCTCCAAGTCAAGTAGTTGTTTCAATCTAGCGCAGCTCAGTGGCCCATGTGGGAATCGAACTGGCAACCTTGGTGTTACAAGCCTGCGCTCTAACCACCTGAGCCAACCGGACTCATCCTTATCACAGTTGTTTTGACAGCCACAAGGCGCTCCTCAGGGTGTGTGGGGCGTCCTGTCGTCGTAATGCCTTGGCTGTTTGCTTGTCTCTTTCTTTAGTTTCCTATTCAAGGGGACACGGGGCAGCTGTCGCTTTTTGTTTCAGAACTTACGTGCACACAACAATGTGAATGCACTTAATGCAACTACACTTAAAAATGGTTAAAATGTATATTTTTATTTATGTATATTTTACTACTATTAAAAATTTTATGAAACACTATTTCTGTGCGTCGATAGGGACTTTGGGAAATGGCTACTGTTCTGTCACACTGCCATAGTGAATGCCTCCTTTTCAGTCGCCCAGTCAGAGCTGGGAAACCCTCAGTGGGAGCACAGTTTTGCTCTATTTAACAGGGCTTTTTTGGGGGGGTGGGGGGCGGGGAGGGTAGAGATCTTTGTAATTTTCTAGGGCTTAGGGAAGAGTGGTAATGGAAGCATCATGTGGGAGTCTTTTTTTCATGCTCAGTCAGTCCTGCCATTTTTAATTGAACATTGCTTCTCTTCAGAGAAATTAATTCTGTCATGGATTTTGTTTCTGAAACTTGTCACATTTACAGTTTCGAAGCATCTATTTCCTGAGGGTGAATACCTGTTTGCCTGCCTGTCAGTCTGTCTCTCCCTTTATCCCCAGGGCCCTAGCAGTGGCCTGTCCCTCCCTCCCCAGCTGCTCTGGCTCCCAGACGGCAGTGACAGTCCCCTGTTCCTGTTGCCCTTCCTCTGACAAGTGACCCCTCCTGTCTCAGAAACAAGCCTTTTCTGCTCCCTCCTCCCCCGTCACTGGCTTCATCAGCCATACCATCTTCTTACTTCCCTCCGCCTCTCCTTTCCCAGTTACCCCATGGGACCTGGCTGCACCCACAGCTCCCCTCAGCTCCCGCCTCACCCGGGAGGCTCTCCCTCGTTAGCACCTCACGCCCTGCCCCAAGGAGGGAGGAAGCCCACTGGGTTTGGCATCTTCATTCTTGGCATCCCTGCGCTGCGTCCAGCTGCCACCTTCTCATTACTCCTCGTCATTCGATGTCCTCCTCACCATCTGTTCATCCTCCACACGGAGCAGAATGTTACTGCAGCCTACAGGGAACGTCTGTACACAGTTGATCAGCCAAAAAATTTCATCATATGTTTAATAAATTGCGATCTAAAAGTAACCTCTTCACCCCTACTTAGAAAATAGGAGTGGGCACATAATGACTTTGAATATATCCTTTTTAGTTCTGTCGGCTTTTTTAGAAAGACACTGTGTTTTATACTGAAAAAGAAAAGTACTTTGAAACCTTTTATGATGTAATCCACACATTCAAAAATTAGGAATTAAATATAATGAATATAAAATATGTTAGAATTTCACTAAAATGGGTCTGTCCTCCTCTGCTTTGTCACCTGGATCTTCCGTTTTTTAGTAACATGCCCTTCACCTTTTCCATTGCTGTCACCCTCCGGAGCCTTCCAAACGTTTGAAGTGTGTATGCTGCTTGCACCTTCTTTGTATTAAAGGTTCAGTTCCTCCCCCAGAACTGGAGAGAGCATTTCCTAAACCCTTTTTGGCTCAATTTTGTCTAGCAACTGCCAAGCAATTACCCTTTTTTCCAGTAGGGGCGCTCTTGTAATCCTTGAAACTTGGCAGAGTTGCCCTACTTGGGGGAATTTTTTTTAGCTTTGTTTTAAGTAAATTAAAGTCTTGTCATTTTTAGTCTGAAAACTTGCCACTGGTATACAGCTTAAATTCCAAAATATCCTGTCTCTGAAATGTCTTACCATCCATAACACTTCCCTGAGCCAGCAACTTGAAAACCTTAGGGTCAGACTCTTCACTTGTATTCAAATAAATTGGGGTTGTGAATCATTCTGTGTGAGTATGATACAGATTTTACATTTAAGGTAAGCTAATTTGAACTTGCTAGGAAATAGAGAAGCCCTAATGTAATAAAAAATTCATGGACAAGGGCTTGAAATAAAGGTTAATAAGAGGCAGCAGCAATTGTCTTTTGTCTGTTTCGCTGAATGCCTTCATCTACTCACGTCTCCTATCACTTAACCTCGTTAGAGGTTAGAATGTGGCAGAGTCTGCAGAATGAGGAAAAGCCATATTCTGTAGGCTTTTTAAGGCATCTTTTGCTAGGCCTATGGCTCTGGAGGGGGTCTTGTGTGGATGTACATGATGCAGAGAAGTGGATCCTATACAGTGATGCTGAGATGGTTAGTTCCTGTAGCTCTGTGAGGTTAGAGATTGGGGAAGAGAGCAGGGGTCTTAGGAGCAGAGTTGGCATGGCCTGGAGAGGAAACAGATGCTCTGGGACTCATGTCTATCAGACTTACGTCTATTAAGTGAGGAGAAGACTGAGTGACCTTGGACAAGTCACTCAGCCCCTCTTGACCACAGTTTTCTCATCTGTGAAATGGGGGTTGGACCAGATGACCACAGAGGATGTTTTAGTTCTAATTTGAGTTCTCTAAGACAGCATTGCCCAATAGAACTTACTGTGATGATAGAAATGTTTTATAACTGCGCAGTCCAGTCCAGCAGCCACTAGCTACATTTGGCTATTAGCCATTTTTGAAATGTGACAGTATAATTGAAGACTTTCTAATCTCAATTTATTTAAATTGAAATAGCCACATGTGACTAGTGGCTACCATATTGGACAGTGCAGCTCTAAGATGTATAAGGACCTTATTAGAAAAAAATAAAACATACATTCTCAGTGTGGGCAAATAATAGATGCCATAGGCAAATAACATAAACTGGGAGTAGTATAAATTACCCTGAATATGCAACATTCGTCCTGTTTCCTTGAGTAGCCAAGGGTTCTATGAAGCAGAGATATCAGCAGGATGGAGACAGAAGTTAAAATGCTTTTAAAAGGGTTGGAGACATATGCACCTGAGTGAGCTTCAATCACCAAACCACCAGAGTAGCTGGCACATTTCCCCATCACCCTTCTAATGCAGCTGGGCAGGGCACCGAGTTTTCTCTGCACTCCTGCCCTTTTCCCCCAAAACTAAAGATGGTGACATTTAGGCCAGATGGGGGCAGGACAGCCAGTGAACTCTGGGTGCCAGAGCCCTGAGGTTGACCTTTGAAATTCTTCTAAGGTTCCAAGGATTCGTGACCACCATGGATGCCAGGCCTCAACAGTCACCAATGTTTTCTCTGATAAAATATTAATTCAGTTAATAAAATATCTCCTCCATCTTCCTGATAAAGGAGTATATCGGAGAACAACCCAGCACAAAGCTGCCTGACCCGGAAGTCATCCAGCTCTGTGTCTCCATCTTCAAATGCCCCAGGCTCCTGCTCCCCAGATGGCCTCGATCAACAACTCTTAGAGGACTTCCACAGGGTGACCAAAGGGGGCTCCACCGAGGACTCCAGCCAGTACTACTGTGACAAGGTGAGCTCACTCAGGACCTGCGGCCCTGAAGTAACCGGACGACCCACCCAGGCTTCCCCGTGCATAGGCACCTCATGGGCAATTAAGTAGTTATGACTAAAACAAAATATCAACCACCAGTGGAGAGGGAAGGAACGTAATTGACCACTTTCCCAAATTTTCCAGAACGATAATGGTGACGGCTACTTAATCTTGATCCGTATCACACCAGATGAAGATGGAAAATTCGGATTTAATCTAAAGGTATGTTGTATGTATTTCTAAGGAAGCTTTATGCTCTGTAGATGACGTTTTAATTTCCATTGGAAACATGCCGCATACTTGAGGCTATATAGGAAATTGGCTCAGTCCTCAGAATGGGGCGGTTTTCATGTGGCTGTGGCTGCTTCCTCATACCAAGTGCCTGTTCTGTGCTTGCCGTTCGCGCTGGCCTTATTTCACCGTATTGAGTTCTAAGCAGTGAAGTTGGTATTTTTAACCCATTTTATAGATGCATACTGAAGCTCAGAGAGTGAGGAGGGCACACAGTGATCAAGCAGCTCTCGCCCTGAAGAGGGGTTATTAAGGGAGCCCCTCAGCATTACTTAGCTGATAAGAGAGAACGGTGCTTTGAGTTGCAGGGCCATTTGTGGGGCGATCACCCTCTGCCTGCTTCTAGGCAGGGTCTAGACTACGGCCTAGGGGCCAAACCCCATGTGTTTTTGTAAATAAAGTTATTGGAACACAGTCACACCCATCCATTTACAAATGGTTTATAGCTCCCTGGGCAGTAGGTGGCAGAGTTGAACAATTGCAAGAGAGCCCTCTGTCCCACAAAGCCCAACATAGGTAGGTACTCACTGGTGCTTTACAGAAAACAGTTTACCAGCCTCTGCTGTACAGCTCAGTGAGAACAGGCAGCCTCCACTGCCCACCGCATAGCTGCCACCATGCAAGCCTTTCCTGTACCCCAGCGCCCTGCTCAGTGACCTGCTCTCTGAGGTCCAAAGCCGTCACAGCATGTGACCTTTTCTGTGGCATCTGTCTTCTCCACTGAAAACGCACTGTCCAGCAGCACTTAGGGGCTATGATTTTGGAGTCCTTTTCCTGGAGACGTTTGCCTTTTTTAAAGGAGCTTGCTTCCTCCCTCCGAGTGCACCTTCAGTTCATGGAATGTGGGGGTGGCCGTGGGAGGCTTCTGAGCAGCCTTCTGGTCAGCCCTCTATTCTCAGAGGGCTCAGCAGCCTTGGAATGCTGAAAGGGTGCCATCCCCGGGGATGAGAACAGGAGAGAGTGAGGTTGGAGCCCTCCCCTATGCCAGAGATCTGCATGTCTTTGTTGCTATAAACTAAAGTTTTGTTTGTTTGTTTGTTTGTTTGTTTGTAATTTCACATGTTTACAGGGAGGAGTGGATCAAAAGATGCCTCTTGTGGTATCGAGGATAAACCCAGAGTCGCCTGTAAGTAAACACGTTCCGTTACTTGTCATGTTTGTTCTCCCCAAAATGGAACAGATTCTGTTTTTTTTGGTGTCCTGCTTCTCTTACGCCAACAATAAAGAGGGTGTGTAAACGCATGCACATAGATGGGCAGAAGGAGCAGAGCCCATGTTTTCCAGAGCCTGGCTGCTCGGTGTGGTCCCCGAAGCTGTCCTCTGCCACCCTACTGCCCAGGGTGCAGCACCAGCCTCACCGGGGAGCTCGTTAGAAATGCAGAATCTCAGGGCAACCCGTCAGCTCAGTTGGTTAGAGCATGGTGTTGATAACACCAAGGTTGCTGGTTCAGTCCCCGCATGGGACACTGTGAGCTGCACCCACCATAAAAAATAAAAAAAAAAAAGAAGAAGAATGCAGAATCTCAGGCCCCACCCCAGACCCCCTGAACCAGAGTCTGCATTTTTAACAAGATCCCCAGGTGATTGGTGTGCACATTACAATGTGGGAGTACTGCTCCAGAGCAAGAAACTGAGGCATGGAGCTTGCGGTTCTGCTCACTCAGGGTGGGCACGCGGACCCTGTGCCCTTTCCCACCATGCCACCACCACCCCTCCCCCACCCCTCTGCCTAGACCTCCTCAGCAGATCATTTGCTTTTTTAAAGCAGTGCACACCAGAGTCACTGTGCCTCCTAAGAAGGTACTGGTTTGGGGGTTTTACTCTTAAGTAGCCCTTAAGCTGGCAGGTTAGTTTCTCTTACTGCTTATGGCCCCTTTCAAATAAGGAGGCTTTCATGCCAACACAGTTCAGTGCGTTGCTTCTCTTCATAATGGCTTCCGCCTTTGGTATTATGCTTACAGAGGCTTTCTCCATTGCAAGATAAATAAATACCCGCTTTTAGCTGACAAATCATTTTCTCACAGCCCATCTAGGAAATAAAAGATCAGAAGCATCACAGTCATTCCATTACATTAATAAGTGAATGTTGGCTGCAGATAAATAAATACTAGCTTTTAGCTGACAAATCATTTTCTAACAGCCCATCTAGGAAAGATCAGAAGCATCATAGTCATTAACGTTGCATTAATAAGTGAAGGTTGGCTGCCCTAGAGAAATGGCTTCTGTGATTTTCTTATCCTTGTTCTGAAAAGTTTCAGAACTTAACGTTCCACTTCATTAAAACCCCACAAGCAGCCAGCCGCCATGTCGTCGTAGCAGTGGATGTAAAAATAATGACGATAATACCTGAGGGAAAGAAGGAGAACTCGATCATGGTCTCAGGTGTCTGGGCTCAGAGAGCAACAGCGTCCTTCCCTCGAGGACTGTGTTATGGTAACGGAAGAAACCCGCTTTTCCCTTCCACACAGGCGGACACCTGCATTCCTAAGCTGAACGAAGGGGATCAAATTGTGTTAATCAATGGCCGGGACATCTCAGAACACACCCATGACCAAGTGGTGATGTTCATCAAAGCCAGCCGGGAGTCCCACACGCGGGAGCTGGCGCTGGTGATCAGAAGGAAAGGTAACAGGCACCTTGGGGGGCGGAGCCACGGGTGCTGCTGCGCGAGGCAGGGCCTTCGCTGGCCCTTCCGTGGTTCTGAAAATGTTGAGCTTGTAGCCAACATTTGAAAAGCAGCTTTCACGTAACAACCTGGATGTCTGACTTCTCACTTGAAAAGCTTGAAGATCTCCGCACACGGGGCCCGGCCCCTCACAGCCAGTCCTCTGGAGGTAGGCAGCACCCACCTGCCCCTTTGTACAGGGCATGAGCCCCCACCTCTCTTAGCTGCCTGGCCCTGCAGGCATTTGCAGTTTCAGCCCTTTATGGAAGGATCAGGTTGTATTTTATTCACGTGCATTTGGTTTTGTTGGAAAGGCAGTAAGCAGAGTGGGGCCGGGGCCTGGCTCCCTTGGGCTGGTTCTCACTCTATCTCCTACCAGTTGGAGGGACCTTAAGCAAGCTTCTTACCCCGTCTGTGTTTCAGTTTCCTCTACCATAAAATGAGGATAACAATAGTCCCTACCTCACGGGGTTCTTGTGAAGATTAAATTATACTCATGCTGGAAAGCACCTAGAAAGCTGCCTGATACGTGGTAGGCGTTTGAAGGATGGCTTCTATTGCATACCATTGCTTTTGTTGTTGTAAAATGATCAGCGGAGTCCTGGGACACTCCTTCCCAGCTTTAAAATACCTAAGGTGTACGCAGTGTGTGACTCAGAGCCCTGGCCCTCCATCTCTGTTCTGGCCTCACAGGTACAGGCATGGCCCCACACCCCCACATACCTGCCTTCTCTCTTCCCTTCGTGCCAGCACTCACCCCACCTCCTCTGTGAGGCCTTACCAGGTCCTCCAGATCCCTTCACAGCCCTCCACTGCCCTCTCCCCACCAAACCCCAGCATTCTGCTCAGCACACAGTAGGTATTCAGTACTGGTCATAGCTGATGTCTGTGGAGCCCAGTGAAATGCCTTGCACTGTGCTAATTGCTTTACGTAACTATCCTCTTCAGCTCTCATAACACTCTTATAAGGTCAGTATTGTTATCCCCAAAGTGAGGAAGTGGGGGAAACCAAGTCACAGAGAGGTTAAGTTGCCCTGTTGCTGTGTGGCTGCTAAGGCCACAAGATATTATAATAGGGAACGAAGGAATCCAGCAATTGGGAGCAGGCCCCTCTGTCACATGGTGCACCCTATGGTACACTGGCAGTCGTGGGGCCAGCGGGAGAGCCCTCTGGCCTGTCCGAGTGGAGGAAAATGGATGTTTTTAAACTATTAGAGCTAGAAGGGCAGTGCCACTGGTCTTCTATAACTGTAATGATAATAAGTTTATTTTTATTTATTTATTTATTTTTAATTAGGGAATTGGGGGAGGGGAACAGTGTTGGGGAAGGGGGCCAGCCAAGGTGGTGTTCTTCAGTCTTCATTGTAGAGGGCGCCAGTCACCATCTGGCTTCCCATTGGCAGCTCGTGGCCTCTAAGCACAAGGTGCTGTGTTCAATCTTAGTTGCGGGTGGGCGTAGCCACCATCCCATGCAGAAGTCGAACCAGCAGGCTTGTTGTTAAGAGTGCATGCTCTATCCACTGAGCCATCTGGCGGCAGCTCAGCTCAAGGTGCCGAGTTCAGTCTTAGTTGCAGGTGGGCGTAGCCCACCATCAAACAGGCAAACTTGTTGTTATACCAGGTGAGCCATCCTGCCACCTGTTGGCAGCTCAGCAACAGCTCAGCTCGGGCGCAGCGTTACTGGCCCATGTCAGAATCGAACCGGCAGCCCTGTTGCTCAGAGCTCGCACTCTTAAGCCAACTTTTTTTTTTTAAGATTTTTATTGGGGAATTCGGGGATGGGAACAGCCCTAGGGGATTGGGGGAAGAGGAACAGACAAGTTGCTGTCCTTTTGTTCTTCAGTCTAGTTGTAGAGGATATTGCTTCACTGGCCCAAGTTGGCACCATCATCGCCCTCTTCCCAGGCGAGGCAGATCAGCCGCTGGCTTCTGGACGGCCACTCACTGCGGTTGCTGACTTGCTCGCTGGTTGCTGGCTACACACGGTAGCCCATGGCAACCCACTGCAACAGGGGCTGCAGCCTATGCCGTTGCTGGCGACTCACGTCAGTCCAGCTCCAGGTTGAGCTGTTGTTCAGCATCTTAGCTGTAGAGGGCAGTGTCACTGGCCCGCACATGTGGGATCCGAACCAGGGCCCTCTGGCGTCCCAAGCCAGCTCTTAACCAACGCGCCACTCAGCCAGCCCCCGATAAGTTTATTTTTTAAATAAACATTTAAGTAAAAAGTATGAGGTGATTGAAAGAAAAATAAGTAAACAGCATAGGGAGTAGCTGATGTGACAAGTCACGAAAGTAGCAAAAGAGCCGAGTTTCTCCGGTCAGTGAATAGAATGTGGTCTTTAGGGTCAGACAGATATGGACCGAATTCCCGTGTCCCACCCTGACGGGCTGGGTCACTTTGGGCAACTCCTTTGCCCTGAGAGTCAGTTTCCTCATCTGTATAATGGGGATAATGACAGCTGGTCCAGCATTGTGAGGTTTCAGTCTAACTCTGTGGGGAAATGCACAAGTTGTTACATTCCTCTCCTTTTCTGTGGCCTTGAAGGCAGTAGGGAGCCAGTAAAAGCTTTTGAATAAGGGAATGATGTCTCCTTCTGGGTGGCAAGGGAAAATTCAGGGATGATCCCAAAGTTTCCCATCTGAGAGACTGGAGAAGGAAACGACTGTATGTGGAAAAACGCCTGTGAGGCTGGGGAAGTATTGTGAAGGTCGGGGTGCAGGGTCCTAGGTTGTTTTTATTCACTCGGAGTCTGACATGAAGGGAGGGTTTTACTGAAGAGGTGAGGCTGAAGCACAGAGATGTTATGCGCAAAGATGTTTACTTGAGAACTTCCCACCTAGAAATGGCTGTGAGTCAGAGACTGACTGTGCTCTGGGGGACGATGGTGTCATGGAGAGCACCCCAGACCTCACCCCGGTGCCCAGGGAAGTGCCTGGTTTAAGGGAACAAATGAAAAGGACCCGAGAAAAGGGTGGGGGGATGGGTAAAGTAAAAACCAGGTTAGAGAGAAGATATGTTTTCTTTAAAAACACTCTTTCCCTTTCTCTTACCTTTGGCAAAGCCTCTGAGTACTAAACACCATCCTAAATTAACCAGAATAGTATGTCGCTTTGTATAATTAACACATTGAATCAGTTCACGAGAAGCAATGTCTTTGGTGAAAATGATCAGTGTGTGCTTAATCATTTAATAAGATGTTTTAAACCATCTGCATTCAGGTGTCATAAGTGTAATTTGGGGGGACGAAATGGATCACGAGAGCTTTGCCACACACACCAGATTCTCTTGTCCATTACAGCTGTCCACTCATTTGCTGATATCAAATCTGAAGATGAACTGAACCAGCTTTTCCCAGAGGCCATTTTCCCTGTGTGTCCAGAGGGTGGGGACACCCTGGAGGGATCTATGGAACAGCTCAAGAAGGGCCTTGAAAGTGGGACGGTGCTGATCCAGTTCGAGGTAAGCAAGCCCGAGGGCCGCCTCCCACGGCCTGGGTCCCAGTGCCTTGGCGGGCTGCTCCGGTGCTGCCGAATCAGCCATGACCATGGGGGCCTGTGCCCATCGTGGGAACGCAGGAGGGGCCCTGCGTCAGGGCAGCAGAGTAGGCCTAGAAAGTAGAGAATGGAGACCACAGCCCGTCACTGAACTCTGCCTCACCCTCGTATTCTAGTAACGGTGCGGTAGTCATGGAGAAACACATCAGAAATGGAGGAGGAGGGACTCTGAGCGTATTTAGCTGCCAACACAAAAGCTTGAAAGGCTCAGCAGTGGAAAGTAGTGGAGAGGTGTGGGTGAGTGCCCGAGGGGGACTGCAGGAGCCCTGTCCCTGACCCCAGCAGGCACACTCTGTCATTTGGAGCAGTTAGTGTCATCCTATTAGGGCACAGCGCTTTCCTCCCCTAGTCCTCCAGAACCACGTGAACATGATTAGAAGCCAAAGTCAGACACCATCTTCCTTCCCCAGGAGGGACCGACAAGCACAGGTTTGAGACTATCGACAAAAGCACAGCCAGAGACTTGCTACAGAACAACGTAGGACCAGAGACGGCTCGGTTTTTAAGTCACTTTTACTGATCTGATCACTAGCAGAGTGAAAATAGAATTGTGTTTGTTGTTCAAATTTTTTAAAGGTAGAAGAAAGCAGAGTAGTTCATGTAATAAAAGAGAACAGAAGAACAAAGAAGCATAAAATAGGCCAATAAAAGGAAATAGATCATGATTAACGCCAATATACACTGTCTGGATTCATAAATTAGGAGAGTCTCGGATCGGGTTCAGAAGCAGAAATCAGCAGTGCATTGTTTATCCACATAAAGGAAAAAGTCACAGAAGCAAAACTAGGCAGTTTGTCAAATGTATGTGACCGTACATTGATTCAGGAAAGCATGAATAGTATGAATATCGAACAGAAAGGAATTCAAAACAGAGAGTATTGAGTGAGAGGTTGCTTGTATAACAGTGTAAGTAATAGACTGTAAATGGAGTACATTTTTAGAGCAATGTGTATTGAACAACTGTAGAAAATAAAAACACATAAGAAAGGTAAAGGCAATAACCCCATCCAAAGAAAGAAATCAATAGGGAATTTTAAACTTAACAGCCTTGACAGGTAATTGTAGACAAAAAATAAGTTCGTATATTGTGGAAGTGAAATCAGGATAAGAGGGAAGGAATAATGTAATTACTTGGGTAGAATGATAGACATATACTGAATATCTACAGACAGAAAGCTCTTTTTTCCAGTGGCCTGCAGGAGCCCATGTAGGCTTAAGATTTTAAAAGAAAAAGCTCAAAATTGAAATACACACTTTAAGCACTAATACTTAATATTTTAAAACACTATCCAAAATAATTGAAACAAGAACTTAAAAGCCAGAAACAGAATATTTCCATTTTATGCTTTTTTTAGTATTGGGGGGCATATGAAAGGGGAAAGACACTTGCAGTCATTCATTCCTTCAGCGAGCGTGTATTAGGTATTTCCCGTGTGCCAAACACTGGATCAGGATGAAGGAAGGAGAAGTGGGATTTTTGGCCCCAAGAAGTTTACAATCTAATTTTGGTATATTTGGGCTGTCGGGGATGGGCTGTATCATGAGTCCCAGAAAAAGCTAAAGACCAAGATAGGGCAAGATTTCATTACACAGAATTAAACATTACACAGAATGTTCTCTAGAAACTGGAGGTGAGAGGGTTCCACCGTGTCTTCTGGGGTGAGATGTAGTATTAACAGAGGTCGGGTGGGATTAAGTGTGGATTGGGGGGAGGGTACCCCAGGACGGTTGCGACGAGAGAGCAGACTCGTCTCATAGGGAAACAGGTCTGCCTGGGGGTGGGAAGCTTGCCAAGGAGTCCTGGGTCTCCCTCCAGGTGATCCAAGGCCTTTCAACCCCAGCGAGAACTGTTTGTCTTTGATCAGACTGTCCACAAGGAGGCGCTGTGGGCTCTTAATAAGGAAAAAAACCAAGTTTGGTCTTAACCAATGCTCCAGAAAGTCCCCTCCACCAGTTGGCCTCGCTTTTATGTTTCACATATGAGAATCCCTTGTGAGATTTTCCTTGAATAATGTTCACAGAGTTTCATTTAAAAGTTTAAAAATGCTTTAGAGAGAAGTACCCACCTATCCCCTATGTTTTTGAGTAGTGTTTACCAAAGGGTGACACAATGAGCACCTGTATGTATGTCACCTAAAGGGCCCAGACCACAGCTGCTGAATTAGCTGCACTGGGATGGGGCCCAGGTGTTGATACTCTTAACAAGATCACCAGGAGGTTTTGCTGTACAAGCCGAGCCAGAGGATGGGAGGGTAACGATCGGACCAGAACCACTGCCCCACCGCCGCCCATCCTGTCTTACCTTTCGAGCTTGTAGTTGGGCGACAGCATAAGAAATGGAGAATGTAGAAATTTTAGGGTTATATTTTAGTTATATGCACATTTCCTTCATTTAGTCTACATATTTCCTAGAATAAGTAGGAAAACTCTCGTTTTCAATAACATTTACAGAATTCCAGAATGCAGAACAGATAACAGCAGAGCTGCTCTGTGATGGAGCTGCTGGGGTAGATGGAGCCCTGCCTCATTCTCCCCACAGTGGCTCAGGGACCCCTTTTAAATTAAAAATTATGTTTCCAGAGTGTGGGAACATAATTTAACAACCACTGTTATAGATGGGGGGAAAGCTGTCTTCTACAGCTGCCAGAGACGAATTCTAAAGGAAGCCAGATCAAACCAGAAACTAATACAAAGGGAAACCTTTAATGAGCACTTACTATGTGCTGAGGGTTTTATGTGCATCATCTCACAGAACACTCACAGCAGCCCTTGATAGATTCTGTCCTGATTCCCATTAAAATAGATTAGGGATCAGCGCCTGGGAGGGGTTATCTCACAGTAAATGGCACTGTCTTCCTGGAGCCCAGGCAGGCTAACTCAAGAGTTCGTTCTCAATATAACCTTTGCAAACAACACAATGTCTTTTCAGGTGACAGCTGTTATTAGGCTAGTACACCGTCAGAGCCAGAAAAGATCTGAGAAGCAATCTGGCCACATGGGACCAAACAGACTTTAAATCCTGGCTCCGCCCCTCACTTTCTGTGTGACCTCCAGCATGACCCTTAACCTCGGTGGCCTCTTCTTCCCCATCTGTCAGTTGGGTGTCTCATGGGTGGTTGTAAGGATTAGATGAGATAAATACTTAATGCGTTGTCTGGCCCATGGTAAGAGCACAATAAAAAGTAACAACTATCATTATTTATAAATAGAGGCTACAAGAGTCTAAAGAACATGCCCAGTCTCCACACAAGAAGTGGTCATGTCACACTGGGCTTGGAGCCTGGGGCTGTCTGACTCCAGGGTCCTGGCAGTTCTGGTTCCTCACATGCTCTTCCGGTGCCGTCAGCAGGTGAGCAGCTTGGCTGATGGGGGCTGTGCTCTGGACAGGAGCAGGAAGAGGCAGCTGGTTTCTAACAGGTGCCCACACCACCCACTGCAAAACACGAAGGGCCTGCCCTGGGGTAGCTGGGCCATGACGGAATCCCTCCCGTGATACCAAGCTGGTTTCCAGCACAGTTTGCTTTGAAGCATTTTTTCATTAAGGGAATTTCCCTGTCCTTCCCATGGCTTTCGGTAAACAACTACTCGCATTACAGAAAGCATTGGGTCTCAGCTGTAACAAAAATCACACTTAATAATTAGCATTTCTATAGCATTTTGGAATCTACCAAGTGTGTTTCACATATGTCCTCTCTGTTGACACAACAGTTCTGTATAAAAGAGATATGGCCGGAATTATCAAGGTCACTCCTTTACAGATGGAGAAAATGAGGCTCAGAGGCGAAGGGACTTCCTCGATGCCACACAGCTGGGCAGAGAGAGCAAGGACTAGAATCGATGTTAAAAGCCTAGTCCATTGTCAGAACTCAGCATTGCCGGGTGCAACCCAGCCCTTCACCCAGCCTCCAGCCTGAGCCCTCCCTCCAGCAGCAACACTGGGACCTAGCTGTACTCAGTGTGAGCGGTATGGCAGCATTTGTAATCAGCCTCACACTGCCTGGATTCTGTACTCTGTTCAGCCAAGGTAGGGCGGATCTAGGGAGATCGGGGGTTCACACAGCTCCAAGTCCATTACCACCTCCAGGACTCATCCAGTCAGCCCCAGCTTCGTTCCTTCCTGAGAGTAACATGCTTTTCCTGAGTTGTGCTTTCTGTTTAACAAGGAGAACGATATGCATTCCGCATAGACGTCCCTGGATAAAAACTAAGTGATGATGCTAACTTGTCCTTTGAGAACCAGCTTCCCAGTAAAGGACCCTTGTGCCCATCCTCTCCAATGACCAGGTGACTTGCGACTTCCCTGCCTCCTTGCCTAGTTAGGACCTCTTTGGAGACTTGAGGAATGCAGTTGATAGGCAATGGGGAGGAGCTAGTCTCCCTCCCTCCCTGACGGATGAGTTAGAGCGGTGGCTGCAAGACTCAGACCAAAGGCCATGTCACAGGGGGCCCCGCCCTGTCCCACTTCAGCATCTTCCGTCTTTACCCAAACCAGAAGCCATTTTTTTCTCTCTTCTGACCAGTTTTTCCTTAACTCGCTCCTACATCACCCATTATAGGAAACATCCATTTGTGACAAAACAAGTGATTCACTGACGCCTATGATCATTATAAGAGTTGATTTGGATGGACAAAGGTAGCTGAAGACTTAATGAGAGGTTGAAATTGACACATATAGGAATTGGCAAAGGCAATTGTACCTTCAAGATTAGATCTCATACCTTAAAACATTTAAAAAATTAATTTTCCAAATAGTTTTTCTTTTTTTTTAAGAAAGGAAAGCGTTATACCATATAATGTGTAGTATGGAATCCAGGGAACAAACTTTTCATTTCAAGTGCCACCCCAGCTTGTTGTCATTACTCACCTGTGAAAGGGCCTCTGTAAGACTACTTGGGTGTGCCAGCAGTGTGGTCTGCATCTGGGACTGTATTTAAAGTAGCACTGCTGGAGGTTCCAAACTTACTAGCAACAAGGTCAGGTCATTTCAGCAAACCCTTATGGGAAGGTAGGGAGAGGCTTCAAGTTCCCTCTAGACAGTGTTCCTGACCTCCGGCTGGGTCAGTTTTAAGGGAAGGAGGGAGTCCTCAGTATGGACAGACTGCCCATAAGAAGTGAATTATAATGTCTACACAGTGGTACTAGGAAAACAACCTTTTGGGACCTTCATGAGAAATCAACTCTTCGCTAAATTATACGGCTCCATGACGCCTCTTGTCATGCCTTACTCAAGCGGTTTGCACCCTTTGTTCAAAGCAGCAGATTTCATTATTCCTTCACACTACATATTTTTATTAAACACCTACTATGTGCAGGCAGAGTGCTGGCCCCTGGGGTTTATGGTGTTAAACACAATACCTGCTTTTGTGAAGACTAGTTCAGAGCTTGATACAGGAAGTAGACAGTAAACAGCTGTTTTGAAAGTCATTGCCCTGCAGTGGACTCTGGGTCATTGCTGAGGGCATGAAAGGGAGTCTGTTTCTACTCTCTGCTCTCTCCTTACTCATTGTCCCTTCAACTCCCCCGCCCCGTCTTTTCCCTTTACCTTCCTCCTCCTGGAGTTCTCAGCCTTTAAGAATTCCAGTGAGAATTCCCCCTTCATCTGGTCATACAGTGGAACAAGTGCTACTGGTTGGGTGTCTGCAGCCCTCATCTGAGGGCTGTGACTTAGATTTCACATCTTTGGGCCAGACGTCTGAGGAGATCAGAGTCATATCCTGATGCCCTCTTTCTCATATTAGATGATGTTTTTCAAAGAAGAGATGTTTAAACTGGAAAAGCCGTGTGGTCTTACCATCTTCCCATTGCTACGCTGGACAACTCCAGCTCCCACTGTTCAGCTTCGTGCCTTTGGACAGAGGCCAGAGCCAGTGATACTGACACTAATTTAGCTACGGTTGTCCCATAGTAACCCCTGTAGATAAATTTCTTGGAGATAGATAGATAGATAGATAGATAGATAGATAGATAGATAGATAGATAGATCTTTATGCATTTCTGTCAGATGAAGCCCAGGGTGGGCACATGTAAAAAATGTTTAAACACTGCTATAGTACTTGACTTTTAGTATGCTACAATACTATCAACAGATCATTTGCTGCTGAGATACACTTAGATACTCAGTGTAGTTAAAGCCTTTTGCTAGATTTATGCTTTTCTACTAGACCGTCTCAAGTTGATTACATTTACATTTTTGTTACTTGAAAAAAATTATTTTTTCTTCCAGGTTAGCCTTACTGATTGTATTTACCTAATTAGATTTTACCTCTGTGCAGTAGTTAGAACGAAAATGTCATTTAGGGGAACTTGATTGGTTCAGATATCCTCTCCCTTTCCGAATCAAACCACAACCTCCAGTAAGTTATAAATTTATTTCTAGAATGAGCTCAGAGTCCATTAAAGCTTGCAGATATTTAAGAAGCCCTGTGGCTGCTTGATTATGAACTGAAATGATAAAGATGACCAGTAGGTGAGCTCAGAGAGAGAGATTGGAATGCTAAACATTTGATAAATGTATAAGACATGACACAGTCATCATTACCAAGAATCTCTATGCTGATTCTCTCCTGGTGATTCCTGTGCAATTTGTTTAATAAAAAAAATTTTTTTTTAAAAACTAATAAGAAAAACCAACAGAGGCCACTTTATAAAACAAGAAATGAAATTTTCAAAAATTTAAGGGGAAAAATAACATTAAGCCTCTGTATTCAAATTGCAAACACATTTTAGTTGATGAGATTGGCCACAATTTGGTAAACTAACCATTCTCATAACATCCCTGTAGGGTAACTTGCAGAGTCCTTAAAAATATGCTTTGATGTAGCAATTCTGTTCCTGGGAATTTCTAAAAGTAAAGAAATGAAAAACAGCCTAATCAAAAAGTACAGTAAAAGTTAAATTGTGAGAAACTAGAGATTATTGAGACAGTAAAAAGCATGCATATAGAGAATACTTAGAATATTTAATGACACAGGAAACTAGACAGTATATAATAAGTAGGGAAAAACAGGGTTTCAAAATTAGGGTAGTCAGAATACTTCTTGTGAGATGTGAGATTCTCCAGGGCCAAATTAGCTTGAGAAATGCTTAGCTAATCAGAAACAAGCTTGGGCACTGCAGGACTTGTCTTCTTGGACATTCATAGAACATCAGACGGCTTGTATTTCCCAAGTTTCTTTGACCTTGAAACTTTTTCTTAGGAGTACCTATTAGCTTCTTTCAAAACACTTGGGTTCCATAGAACATAGTAGGAAAAGTGATAACAGTTCAATCTCGTTTTTTTTTCGTTGTTTTGAAAATATCTACATATTATGTGTTTGCATATATGCTTATGTATACTTATATATACAGAAAAAAAAGTTGGAGAAATTATATGAAAAGGGACGTCTGTGTTGTGAAAGTACTGATAATTTTATATTAGTTGAATTTCCCAAATTTTCTGCCAAAAAAAAAAAAAATAGATCACTTCCAACATTGAAAAAATTGTGGGGTTTTTTTTAAATTCCCATGAAGTTAATAAAAACCACTAGTGAATTGTGTTTCACTTTCAAATTCAGCTGTGTAAAAAAGAAAACCCAAGGGGTCAAGAGGAAACTTTGGCAGGGGATGGATGTGTCTATGGCCTTGATGGTGGTGGTTTCATTGGTATGCTTACTTATCCCCAAACTCATCAAGTTGTGTACAGTAAATATGGACCACTTTTTACATGTCAGTCAAGCCTCAGTAAAGTGGTTTCAAAGAAGAAAGCAAACTCAAGCTTTAGAGGCAGATCTGAGTTCAGCCCGTGGTTTGTGATCTTGAGCTAAGCGTTTAATCTCTGCCTCTTTGCTTGCAAAAGGACGCTATTAATACCTCTCTCAGATCTGTTGTCAAAATCACATCAGGTATTGTGCAAATGTATCTTAATATGTGCTTGTAGATATGCAAAGACTGTTTTAATTTAATATTTTTGCTAGGGATTGCATGTACAGGAGAATATCTCTTTAAATGAAGTTTACTGTGTATTAGAATAAATGTTCTTACTGTGGAAATATACTTCTGAAATAATTAATGAAATGCTCTTGTTTTTAAGCAAAAAATACAGTTCACTCCATTGAATTGGAGGGAAATGTTTTTAGACTAATATAAATGATTCCCGTTCAATTTTGAGAATGAATTTTTTTTCTTTACTTTCAGCATTTGTCAAATAATTGCCTTAAAAAGGAGGTTTTACTTACCGTGATCCATTATGTGTGACTCAGATTCCTTCCTTATGACTCTTTATTCCCAAGATCCATGTGTTAAAAAGTTATTTGAAGAACTTAGTTTCTCATAGGATTGTAGAATTTCTTACTGGGAAGATTTTTTTCTTTTCATATATAACATAATCGCTTTCAAATGTTAAGATTTTGGTGCCATGAGTGGTAAGTTTTACTGTATGTTTTCATACTCCCATCATGGCTGTTTTTTGCAATGCTTTTTCACCCCTCTCTTTGTCATGTAGCAACTGTACAGAAAGAAGCCCAGCTTGGCCATCACGTTTGCAAAGCTGCCTCAAAATTTGGACAAAAACCGATATAAAGATGTGCTGCCTTGTGAGTATCCGGTGTGAATGCCTCCTTTCCCCCCCCCCGCACACTGGTATAATGTTTCCCTTTTTAAAACAGATTGCTGGTACTCTGGAACAGTTTTCAGTGTGTCTGTAAACAGCACCGTCTTTACTGCAGCCATTTCAGACTCGGAACAGTTGGGGAATAGTGTTTATGCTAATGAGGCGAGAGCTGCAGATGGGGCTGGGGACTGAACTCGCGTTTCCTTGATACGATAAAAATAACGCTTGGAATGATCGGTGCATTTTTTTTTCCTCCCCCCACAGATGACACCACCCGGGTATCATTGCAGGGAAATGAAGATTATATTAACGCGAGTTACGTGAATGTAAGTGAGCCTGGGTAGTAAGAAAGAACACGTGCATCATTGTATCAAGCGCGATAACGGCAGTGTGTGCTTTGCAGTTGACCAAGGGCTTTCCTGCCCACTCCCTTATTTCAGCACAGCAGTCATTGAGGGAGGGCAGAATAGTCTCGTTTTACATAGGGCAAAACTAAGGTTCAGAGAAAGGTAATAATTTTTGAAAAGTCACAAAGCCAACAGAAAGTGAGACCAGAACTCAGATTCCATGTCTGTGGCTCCACTGCCTCCTGTCCTCCCTCTGCTGCTGATATTTAATTGTTTTAGTTTGGTGTTTTTGTCAGTGTTTTGTTTGTAATTGTCTGTGTTTTCCCCCCATGTTATTATTATATATCCATCTAAAAGCAAGAAAAATAAAACTACCTCTGTGCCTATAACCCAAAAAGAAAAGGTAAAAGATTTCACATATTGTGTGGAGAGCATTCATTTCACTGTGAAAATGAATCTTGAGTAACTTAACGTGACCTCTCTGAACCTCAGTTTCTTCATCTAAAACCAAGTGTTGGCACACTTTTTCTGTAGAGGGCCTGATAGTAAGTGTTTTGCTCTTTGCAAGCCAAGAGGCAAAATTGAGGATATTACTTAGGTACCTACACAGCCATTTAAAATGCAACCATGTAAAAATATCAAAAACCACCCTTAGTTTGCAAAACGGCGGTCAGATTTGGCTCTCAGGACACAGTTTGTCAACCCATGATCCAAATAAACAGATGATTTCTCAAGTTACTTTCTCAACTTAACAGCAAAATATCTAGAGCTTCCCTAATAAAAATGGGCCTGATCAGTGATTCTGTTTATTCCGAAACATCTGTGGGATTCATTGATTTGTTGACCCTCACTTCACAATTCCTGGTGTCTTGAAAACAGGGTCAGAAATGGCGGGGGCAGTGAGACCAGTCAGTCCAATATCTTTGAGTTATTTCAGGGGGTGGGGCGGGGGAGAGTCGTGAATTAGGCGCCTCCATTTACCTTCCCCACCTTAGAAGGAGGGATCACAGGGCCACTGCATAGCTCAGCAGGCTCTGAATGGTCTTCCACAGAAAGGACTCTGCTCAGAAGGATAGAAGTAAAAGCAGAGCAGGAAGGGAGAGGGATGCTGGGAGCAACTGAAACATTTTAACATTTAATATTAACTCAAATGGTAGCTGTGAGGGATGGTTGTACAGTAAAACCTTGGATTGCAAATAACGTGGTTTGCGAGTGTCCCGCAAGACAAGCAAACATTTCTAATACATTTTAACATGGTAAACCAGTTGTTTGTTTCCGGAACAAATTATGCTCGCAAAACAAGGTATTACTGTATTCATTAACTTGTGGTAATCATTTCACAGTGTATATGTATTTCAAAGCATCATATTGTACATCTTCAAAGTATATTTTTTTTATTTGTCAATTATACCTCATTAAAGCCTGGAGGAAAAAAAAATTGACAGAAACATTGGCAGCCGTGCAGAAAGCAACGGGCAACAGTAGTTGGTGATATAAGCCTGAATAGTTTATGCTTCAAAGTCAAGTAAAAAGACTTTAATAGAAAACCCTGCATAGGGAAAGATCTGGGCGTGAGAATTGGTCTGTGTTGCTGAAAATGCTGATACCTTGTATTGATTATACTTAGATACAGCAATTACGGTCATTTAAACTCTTCTGTCATCTTGTAGGTACATTTCTGATGATCACCTACTGCGTGTCACCACAGAGTTATCTTAAATATCTAATGCTAGCACCGTTGTCAAATATCTTTCAAGGATTTTTTAAAACGAGCGTCTTTTAACTTTTCTTATTGAGGTATTCTGCTGTGATGTCAGTTACCAGCTAGAAGAGTTAAAGGTCCAGTTCCCTGTCCACCTGTGGCAGGAACAGGTTCTAATGCCTTAACAATCTCTTCCCAGATGGAAATTCCTGCTGCTAACCTCGTGAACAAATACATTGCCACTCAGGGTCCCCTGCCACACACCTGTGCCCAATTTTGGCAAGTCGTCTGGGATCAGAAATTATCACTCATTGTCATGTTGACGACTCTCACAGAGCGAGGGCGGGTAAGTGGCTTGATTTCCAATTCAAATGTGAGCGTGTCACACTGTTCCGTGGAACATGAATCTCAGAGCTGGAAAGGGTCTTAAATGTCATCTAGTCCCGCCCCTCCATGACCCACAAATCTCCTGTGAGGCGCTGTTGATGGACACCTCCAGGGACGGGAAGCTCCGCCCTCCTCCTGCCCACTCCCTGGCCTTCCCCAAGCTAAAGAGTGATCAGACAGCCCCTCCCACTCCTGGCTCAGATCCTAGAACAAGCCAGAAGGCAGTTCCCTTATCTCGCCTCACCTGCCCCAGGACCCCTGCATTGGCTCTGGCCTCCCCCAGCCCAGGACAGTACTGGTCCCGGGAAGCGTAGTGTGCTGCCGAGTGCACAGGGGTAGTGTAAGGCAGGAGAAATTGCAACCTCTGTCAACCTCTGCTTGTGTTGCAGCAAAACCCGTTGGAAAGGAGCTAGGAGGGGCTTAATTTGGAGAGCGTTGGCCTTCTCTTTCCCCATTAAAGTTGGCCTACCCTTCCCAGCTTAAGGTCATTCTTCTCCACAGAGAAAAGAGAGCTCCAGCAGGCATAGTTAGTGACACATGATCTGCCCTGGACAGCACTCCCTTCTGTCCCTCATTCTGCTTGTTCCAGCTCCGCAGAAAAGGCCTTTTCTTCCATCGAAGAGGCCCCACTTCTCCGGCTGCCCCTGCAGGCCCTGCCCCTCCTATTCTGTCCTGATCATGTCCCCCTCCTCTCTTTTGTTGGTGGCCGCTCTGAACCTGAGCTCCTCTGGTCTCCGTGTGACTGGGGGATTCTTTGTTTCCCAGCCCTTTCTTCCTAACTGAATCCATTCCGGCTGGTTCCATCGGGTTCCTGCGTGAGCGATTCCCATCTCCCGTGAGTCATAGCATTCCCTTCACAGTCGCTGGCCCTGGGAACTCACCTCTCTTGTTTATCGATTGCTAGAAACCTGTTCTTCTAAAATCCAGGCTACATGTTTCCTCCCTCTCCTGTTACAAACTCTCAGGTGATCGGAGCCCTTCATTGTGAGGTCCCTCATCTGGTCCTCGCTACCACCCACTGCTTCTTCCTGGTGTCAGGAGCCAGTCACTCCAGGCGAGCAGCCTTGCCCCTTACTTTTTCGGAAAAATGACATTTTCAGCATGTCCTGTTTGTTTTCTCCCATATTGTTAATTTAGTGGAGTGGGGCTCCCCCGAGGCGTGTGGCTGGCCAGCGGCCCCCTCCCCCTCCTTGTGCTGCCCTCACGTCTGCCAGTGCAGGGAGCCTCCCCCAAAGCCTTGATTCACCCCACGGTCTGTGAGACGCTCCCTCTGCAGGATCGCTTTGATGTCTCCCTTTTTCCTTCCTACCCCAAGTGGTTTTTATTGTGTTCACCCTTCAGGTTCATGGTTTCCTCACAAAGGAAAAAGAGCAGTAGAGATATTTTTCAACTGAAACAGTCCTTCTCTCTCACCTTCCATCACGGGTATTTCTTTGGGGGGGAGGGGGTTATTTTTTACATCTATATATGCCCCACTTCCTATATGTATGATGTGACACAAGTTGATTCACACTCTGAGCCTCAGTTTACTCATATGCAAAATAGAGCCAACAATAGTACCTACCTCATAGGGTTGTCTTGAGGCCAAGATAATATACTGTCCATAAGAAGCACCATTTAGTGTTTAGAGTATACTCTTCGAAAGATAGTAGGTTTGAGCATCAACCATCCCCACAGCAGCAGCCTTAATGTAAAAAACTGAGGCTCAGAGAAGTTAAGTAACTTGGCCAGAATCACACCGCGTGTTAGTGGAATTTATTCACCAGGATTGAAACTCAGGATTTCCACAAACTTCTTACTCTTTCCACTACACCCCTGGTGCTTTGAGATCCAAATAGACCGAAGATTAAATTTGACCAAGGGGTAAAGAGAGCGCCCAGTTCTGGTCAAATTCACTGGGCGTCTCTGGAAACAGAGGCATTTGTGGCTCTGTCTGGCACGGGCTGATCACTTCAGAGCATGTCTTCCCGTCAGTCATCCTGTGGGCAGAGCTCTATGCCCCCCGCGCAGATGGGGAGGCAGACCTTGGCCAGTGCTCTCGCCTCTGCCTTGGCCTCTGCGGACAGCAGCCCCTTCATGTGCAAGCGAAGTTGGGGAATGGCTGCTAACCAGAATGCCCAGGCTGACGGTTTATGAGTGGATTCTTAGCTCCGGCTTTCCAGCATGCTTTCGTTTCAAATTATTGAGCTCAAATTATTAATTTCAAACTGTGACATTTGAAAAGAAGAATTATGTGCGTCCGTTGGTTTATACCCTCTTTCAGCTCTAAACAAATGTAATTTTTATACACGTTGATGCACCTGTGGGCAAGGACAAAAATTTTTTTGAATGAGTGAGAATTTGACTGACAGAACTAGGATGAGGTAGACAGCTTGGCCCTGAATTTTGCTTCAAAGCCAGAGGTGGGAGTAAGGCGGCTATGGGACAGTCTTCAGGGTTTGGAAGGGGGACTAGAAAACGGGGGGTTCATGGGATCAGCCCAGGCCTCGGGGAGCCACAGCAGCCCTAAAACCTTAACCCCATTGAGCCCGGGTTTCCTTGTCTGCTCTCTGGGGAGTATCAGCTCCATACGAGTCATGTATGAAGGCATCTGAGAGCCTAGAAATGCTGCTCAGACGCAAAGGGGTGTTCATCTCGGATTCATTTCATCTGGATTTGGGTGGCATCTCTGATCATTCGTAAGTTGATGGGCGACTCATAGCAACAGCAGTAGTAACAGCGACCATTGACCTGAGCCCCCACAGTGAGCCTGGCACTGCACACGATTATCTCCAGCCTCTGTCACTCTGGGAAGCAGGCGGCGGCCTCATCTTTTGGGTGGAGAATGTGAAAATCAGAGAGGTTAAGTGGCAGGTTCAAAGTCATATGGCTAACTCCAGCAGAGGTCTCTCTGACTCCCAAATGTGTACTCTTAACCGCTGTCCCTTGAGGCCTCTACCTCAAGAGCGTGGGGATGGATGGGAAGGACGGGAAAGGTAGAAAGGGCATGTGGAGAGCAAAGAAGGGGCCTGAGGGCCTGGAGTGGGCTTGACTGAGGGGCAGAGGAGGTCGCTCCTGAGTCAGGTCCTTATTTCTGAGGCCCCCCCCTGTTCTTCCAACAATTGGACCCTGGTGAGGAAGAAGGTAAACCTCTCCACTCGTCCTCCAGGCTCCAGCCCCAGGCTGGTTTGCAAGCTGTGGCCTGGCCACTGGCAGGTCGACCCCCATCCCACGTTCCAGGAAGGGCTGTTCCTCCGCCCCTCAGAACAGACAGAGCAGGGCGGCCTCGCCTGAGTTCCTTTTCTCCCTGCAGGAGTGCCTGGTGCGAGTGAGCGGGCTCTGAGTGGGTGCCCTATCTGTCTGTGCAGTTAACCGCTCGTGTACACCGCCCCGCAGCAGAGGTCAACTCACACCCTGTGGTTCCCTTGCAGACCAAATGTCACCAGTACTGGCCCGATCCCCCCGATGTGGTGGAACACGGCAGCTTTCACATCCGCTGTCAGTCAGAGGATTGCACCATCGCTTACGTGTTCCGGGAAATGCTGGTCACCAACACTGAAGTGAGTGTGCCCTACCGTGAGTGGTCTGGGGAGGGTGCCGCTTAGAGGCGAGTGCCAGGCCAGCATCCACTGAGGGCCCGGGCAGGGCTGGTCTTCTAGTCCTGCTCTACGTGTTCACCTGGCGAGCATTTCAGTCAAAGAGCCGGCACCCACGTTCACAGCAGCGCCATTCACAGTAGCCATCAGGTGGAAACAGCCTGTGCCCATTGATGGATGAATGGATAAACAAAGTGTGGTGTATTCATACGATAGACTGTTATCCAGCCTTAAGAAAGAAAAAAAGGAAGGAAATTCTGACACATGCTACAACATGGATGAACCTAGAGGACAGTATGCTGAGGGAAATAAGCCAGACACTAAAGGACAGATACTGTATGTTCTACTAACGGGAAGTACCTGGATCAGTCAGACTCAGAGAGAGAAAGGAAAATGGGGGTTGCCAGGAGCTGGGGGGCAGGAGAGAATGAAGAGTTAATGTTTGATGAGTGACCAGTGATGATGGTCGTACAACATTGTAAATGTACGTAAAACCACTGAAATGTACATTTTAATAATGGTTAAAGTGGTAAACTTCATGTTATGTCTACATTGCCAATTTATTTTAAAAAGCTAACCTGTGTGGCCCTGATGGCAAGTACGTCAGGAGTCAGCAGGAAGAGCTCACTGTGGCCGAGGGGCTGGAGGCCTGCGCGGGGCCCGAGAGGTGGGATCTGGGAGAAGAGGTGAGGAGGGGAGGGGAGGCGGCAGGGGCCGCAGCAGGGCTGTGCCCGGGGAAGAAAAGAGCATCAGGAGCCAGAAGCTGGCGGGGCCGGGGGGGCCGGGGGTTCCTGCCCACCGTCTGGATTGACTGATCACGGCCAGTCTGCATCTTCCACAGACCGGGGAAGAGCACACCGTGGCACATCTCCAGTACGTCGCGTGGCCTGACCATGGCGTGCCTGATGACTCTTCGGACTTCCTGGAATTTGTAAACAGTGTGAGGTCCCTGAGAGCGGATGCTGAACCCGTGCTAGTTCACTGCAGGTACTGTGGCTTGTGGGGTTTTTTTTCGCTTTTTAAATACTCATACTCCCTGGGAAAGGCCTGGAGAAAGTTAGCAGACCTCAATTCCACCTAAATCCCACAAGACGACGTATGCTTTTACAAAGGTCTATTTGCTATGTGAAAATGCTTGGAACTTGATGAAAGCGTAAACCTGTGAACGCAGCGCAAAGCTGACAGAGAAAGCCCCTCCCTCATCTCCCACCTCTTCTGAATCCCCTGACCTTCACAGGGATGCGAATAAGGTGGGGGCGGAGTTTGCACTTAAAGGTGGGTTTCTTTCCATCAGTTTTAAGCCCCCAGCCTCAGACTTTGTGAACACACCCTGAGTGTGTGTGTCGTATCCTTGAAGGTCAGGGGAGAAAAAGCTCTGTCAGAGTGAGTGTGGGAACTGGTGAGGCGTTGAGCTGGGCTGTGCAGAAATGCTACCCGAGCAAATCCCAAGTCTCTGCTCCTCTTCCTCCAGCGCTGGAATAGGCCGAACAGGCGTCTTGGTCACCATGGAGACAGCCATGTGCCTAATTGAGAGAAACCTGCCCGTTTACCCACTGGATATCGTCCGGAAAATGCGAGACCAGCGCGCCATGATGGTGCAGACATCAGTGAGTGGAAGCCCAGTAATAAAAACAGTAGCCGTGGCCGATGCTTCCTGAGCACTCGCCTCGGGCCAGGCCTGCGCAAAGGGCTTTGCAGGTCGAGTGACCGAGGCTTGAGGGGACTGAGTCACTTGCCCGTGGTCACAGAGTTCGCCGGGGCTGAACATCTTCAAAGCCCATTGCATCTGGCCTCTGCCTTTCGCTGCCTCCACTTCTGCTCCCTCCATAGTTTATTCCCTGCCGGCCACTTGGCCAAGGAGCAGCGCTGGCTGCGTTCTGCATTGTCACCACTGGCCCATCATTTGTCGATGAGAAGTAAGCAAGGTCACCCGAGGGTTTCACTCCACTCGCCTGTTCCTAGGTGAGCCTTTTGGCTCAACAGGTGTTTCACATGGCCCTGCTCGCTCTTCCTGTGGGCTCTTCTCCCACGTGTGTCGCACCTGGGTACTTGGCACTGCAAGTGTCCTCAAGAGAAAATCTTGTGGTTTTCCCCCCAGAACTATAAGAAAGGCTGTGGGCTGGTGAGGAAAGAGCATGGTCCAGGTTCCCGCAACTGCTGGGCAACCTTTGCATAATCTCTTAACCTCTCTCCCAGCCTCAGATACCCCATCTGCAAAAGGGGGACCATCCCGTACTCATTTACTCAGATAATTGCGCAAACAGGAGAGACCCGAGCTTGTGTGTAGTAGGAGGACTGGTTTAGTCAATTATAAGTCTCAGCAACAATGGGGAAAGTCCAAGGGGAGTCTAAGAACTTAATGGAAGAGAATCAAAAGCTGACTTTAGAAAGTCAAGGAAGGCTTTCTGGAGGCGTGGCCTCTGAGGTCAAACCCCCAGGATGGACCAGGAGGCGTCAACACAGGAAGCAGTGGAATTCCCTGTTGTAGCCAGCTCTGTCCTCACAGGCTCGTGGACAAAGTTTATAAGATTTCTCTAATACTTGTGAGCTCTTGTAGTTTTATATTCATCTGTACCCAGGAAATCTGGTTAAAAGAAAAATATCAGATTATTAAGGCGATTTTCTGCCATGGAAGATCCCATCGCTGGTTAAAACATTTTAAGTACACCGTCTTGGTAGTTTTTCCTAGCTAGCGAAGCTCGGTGTAAACGCTTTCTTTCACCGTAACATCACTAAAACATAAGTTTCTCAGGTGTTTGTTAATGTAAAGAACCGTATTCTGCAGAGCAGCTTTCAGTGGCTCTTGTTTGTAAGACAAAACCCACATCCTCCCCCAACACAAGGCCCAGTGTGACCTGGTCCTGGCCCACCTGTGCGGCCCCTCCCGCGTCCACGTGTTCGGGGCCAGGGCCCGGAGCCCTGACTGCACTTCTGAGTGGGCCGTGCTACTCGGAGCCTTGCATACACTGCGTTCGCTGACTGGACTGGTGACCCTGTAACAACCTTCACCCCTTCCCTGACTGCCCCAGGCTGCCAGTTCCTCCCTCAGACAGGAGTCCATGACACTTTGTCCATGCCTCTCCGGGAGCAGCTCCTCATCTTATAGGAATAATGGCTTCCCAGGTGTTTCTTCTCCGCTCTGTTTCCCTGGCATGCAGCCCAGGCTCTGGCCTGGCCCAGAGCTCGAGCTCAGGATATTTAGGAATGACATGAAAGAATAGCTTACGTGGTGGGCTGCAGCGTTTATGCAGCTGCTGCTGGACTTGACGGCTTTCCTTTCTCTTCCAGAGCCAGTACAAGTTTGTGTGTGAAGCGATTCTTCGTGTTTATGAAGAAGGCTTAGTCCAAATGCTGGATCCCAGTTAAGACAACTGTGAAAACGTTCATTCCTCTTTCCCAAGGGCATCCTCCTTAAGGACAGACCTTCTCTCTGGAAGCAGCAAGAGGAATCTGTAGACTGTGGCGCGGGAGAGGAATGGGCACATTTGAACCCAGGCACTTTAAATTTCTATCAGAAAGGTCTCGTGTACATAGGAACTGTGTAGATATGCATGCAGGGGTAGCGCCGTTTAGGCCCATTATTCCTCTTGGGAGAAATGAGCAGAAGGGGGTCTCAGCTGGGGGCCTGTGCTAATGCCTTCCTCCCTCGGCGTCGCCGTGATCCTGGAAACCATCATTGGGCAATTGAGAAGGGGGCTCCTGCAGCACTGTTGACTTCCACAAACAAGAAGGTGTGGCAATTTCGAGTTGCTTGGATATTTTGTATGTATATGTGTGTAGGACTCGAAGGGCCGAGCTTTCTGTGCTAGTAAGCCAAGCTGGAACAGTTTGCGTTGGCCCGCCCAGATGCGAGGGAAGCCCCAGTGAATGTGCTGAACGGCAGGGGGAGAGGGTTCTAAGGCTGAAGGATGAGAAGTACCTTTTCTGCCCTCCCTCCCTTTGTCCCATCTCCCTGTCACTTCTGATATTCGCGTTTCTGAGAATCGCGTCCAAAATGCCCCGCTCTCTGCCTGCATCAGTGACCCTCTTCAGGCTCACAGGCAGCGCCTGAACCGGATCGGAAATGTAGGTTCGGGTGAATTTTCAGCTGAGACTCTGAGAACGAGGACTTGGGGTATGGTCTTGCTTGTTGTCTGTGCGTTCGTTGTAGGAGCGGGTGCTGCTCGCCTCTCAGCGCACACTCAGCCCCCAAGGCTGGAAGCGCCAACTACTGAACCTTCCATGTGGATTGCTGCTACTTCAAGCTACTACACTTGAAACATTACGTCCAGAGGGAAGATGGGATCTCATCTAAATATTCGGAATCTTTGGCCCTTCTGAGGAGAGATCTTCTGGTCGTTGAACCATGGGAAACCCAGCTTGTCTAGGGTTGTCTGTGGATGCGTGTATATGTGTGCGTGTGCCCGTGGGTGAGTGTTTCTCAGGATCCCTGACGATTCAAATTACAGTGGATTTTATATAAAGAAGGAGTCTCTGTATAGAAGAACAAATGTGCGCATTCACCCTCAGTTACAATGGTCTCCGTTTCATTTCAAAGGAGAGAGGATCAGACTATCTGAGTATAAACACAATTTGATGTTAATTTATTCTAAATACACCATGATTTTGATTGTCCTAAAGAATTCTGCCTTTGTTAATACTGTGTTCAATATAAAAAAAAAATTGTGACAGGATTGTAGCAAATTATTATTTAAGGAAAATAAATTACGTAAACATTTTAATGTGGTATGTTTAAATAGCAGTTTATATGTATCCAGAGGAGGAAGCTAAGCCAGTTGCTTAACGGGATTTATAGAAAAAGGATGCGTTTGTATTATAGTGCACAGAAGTGAAGCCGTTTTAACGTTTAGCATACTCTGGACCAATTAAGTAGTTTCATGGTTGTAAGAGGGATAAGACCTATACAGTCTTTATCTAGGTTTCTAAAGGTTCTTTATCTCTACACCTAGCATATTTACTGCATACTTCCCATCTTTTTCCCCCACCCATATTTTACTACCAAGTGACAGGGCTGGGAGGGAGGTGTTACAGAGTGCTGCAACCCCATACTATGAAACAGGTAATCAATCACCTGAGCCCCATCCTTGTCGACATATTTCCAGGCTAGCAGAAGGAAGCAGGAGAGTAGAGCTAAGCAACAGGAAACTTGGCTCCTGGTCCCACTCATCAATAACCATCCCTAGGCCCCGTCACTTAGGAGCACCGTCTCTATTTGCTCATCTGTGAAATAGGAGAACTAATACTGAGGACTTGAAGTTGAATATGAGGATTGACTAAAATCAGGCTATCGATGTGAGTTTTCATCAGCTGGAACCTGACGCAGCTATGGATGAATTACTTCAAGTTATCAGTAATTAGTCTCAAAACCCACAAAAGAATCATATGGGTTTTTATAAGAGAAAGTTGCTTTTCTTCTAGGGACAACAGAAGCACAAAGGAATATCATTCCAGTACCTTTGTTCAGTTCTGGACTCAGAAAAATTCTGTCAGCAAAGTAAAAAAAAAAAAAAAAAAAAGGAGGGGGAATGTGGGAAAGCCGATGTGAATTTAAACGCCATCAGGGTATTTAGCAAACAATGCCATTTAATAAAAATGTATCCTCGCCCTGTCTGCAAAAAGCTTGAGTGAGAAGTCTAAACGTGTTTGCAGATTTGTGTTTTATTGCTTATTTTTTAAATTGTCTAATATGGTTGCAGAAATGCTGGCATTATTGTCACATAAATTTCTAAGAGGCTTATCAAAGGTGACTAGCCTTTTTCTGCCCCTGTGAAGGCTACGAGTTCAGACACAGCAGATGTTACTAGAAACAAAATCCACGAAATACTGGGGATGAACAAGACGAGAGAATGGGCAAAATATGCAAGTAAATACTGTAGATACTGCCAATTCTGTAGTCAAGATTTCTGCTTCACCACCTATACACTTCAGCAATTATACTTAAAGAGCTTTTTTTTTTAGTTGTAAGTGAAGAACATCATATTCAGGATCAATATTTTGCCTGGGAAATTTGGCTGGGTGTGAATGGAGAAGACATTTGCATCCTGCATTCTGGCGCTCTCCAGAAGATCTAATTAGACACATCAATATACTGACTTCATCAAGATGGGAGAGTCCCTCCTGATGTCACCCTATTGTGCATGCACTTGGTGTTTTTGACTTCCCAGAAAAAAAATATTCAACTCCATTTGGTTGGGGGTGGGGGAGTATGGATCACAAACTTGTGCTGGTCTTTAATTCCTACCACAGTAATTTATGCTTAAATATGCTTTTAGATTAGTGAAGATGGTATTGCTGCTATGTTGCTACTCAACTTTTTTTGTTGCTCGGAAGTTATTGGAGCACAAGCAACAGGCCTCTTCATCCTCCAGAGGCAACAAAGGCAGCAGCAATGGGGAAGGTCGTAAGAGGCAGGTTTGGGGTTCAGACCTAAACTTAGGCAAGATGGGCTGCCCTCAGCCCACAGTTTTCTTACATATAAAATGGGAAGTTTGGGCTGAACTAGATGAGTTCTTCAGTCCTTTCAGTGTTTGCCATTCTAGGAGTCTGTGTTCCAGAGATTTGAAATTCATCCTAAATCAAAGCTGTATAGCTACCAGAGAGAGAAGTATCACATTTCTGTGACTTGTCCCCAAGAGATTGTCCCTCAGACCTTGACGCTGTTGAATACTAAGACAAGGATTGTCATCTCTGGTTCTTGCCATCCTTGCCATCTCCTAAGCCGAGAACAGATTCAGTAAAGAGGACAGAAACTCTGACCTCAGCCTGGAGAACCGAACATGTGGGATTCTCATGGCTGGACTGTCTGCCATCTTTATAACTCACATTCTATTTGGAGCAATAAAAGAATTTGTGTTAATGTAGTTTTGGAAAGTATCTTAATTGATCAGCAACATTTTTTCTGTAAATTTGAAATGGTTTTCATTCTGCTAGTGACAACTGAAAACAATTTGATAAATATAAAAACATTCAAGCTATGCAACACTATTGTGTGTTGACATTTTTATTCTAATTGTCTTGATTTCTGGAAGAGTTTTCTTATTTTGCTTGCTTTTTTTTAAAATTTGGGAACAGCCATGGTCATTGGTTACACATTGCTTTCATGCTACAATGGCATAGTTGACTCTCTTGAGGAGGGCACAGCCCACAATGGCCCATGCGGGGATCGAACCGGCAGTCCCAGTGCTTTCAGCACCATGCTCCAACCAACTAAGCCAACCGGTCACCCCTGCTTTTTTTTTTTTTTTAAGTAAATATTAAGCCTTGGAAGAAAGTGCTCTCCACCCCCTCTCCTCCTTCCATGTGGTCAGCTGCATAACCCTGCACAGCACCCGTCTCTGTCTTGACCTTGGGTGGCAAATTCTAGATCAGAATTAGGTTCAGCTGTCACAGCAGTAATAGCTTATACGAAGTGGAAATTACCCTCTATCATGCAGGGCTGCCAGGGTGGCTCCAGGATCCAGGTTCTTCCCACTTGTTGTTCTGCCATCCCTAGTATGCAGTTTCTACGCTGAGGCCCACAGTGGTGGCTCCAGCCATGTTCTCATTCCAGCCAGCAGGATGGAGCAGAGGGATGGAGAAAAGCAAGACCCCTCCCCTCAAGGTGTGTCATCCGGATGTTGTATATCCCATTGACCAAAACTGAGCCAGGGGGCCATACCTACTACATGGGAGCCTGGGAAAGGTTTTTATTCCAAGAAGCCATGTTCCTAACTGAAACTCAGGAGTTCTCTTTCTGAGAAACAAGGAAAGAATGGGTTTCAGGGACGATTAGCAGTTTCTGCCATAGCTCAACCCATTGGCCACCTTTCACGGCTTACATAGAGCCCACTCCTCTTTCTAAGGTAAACGACCAAAACCTCTCCAGTTAGGGCATGAAGCGAAAGCTAACATCCCTTTCGGTGATTTCTGGTCTCCCGTCAGCTCTGGGTGGCTTCCCGTGGTCTAATCACCTATAAACTGGAAACCAGTTATCTTCTCCAAACACAGCCCTTAATATGAAGTAAAAACAGGCAAACAGCCATTGGAAACTCATTCATTAGGGGAGAACAGGAAACACTGCTCCAAGCAGATATCAAAGGCCACTGCACAGGAAGAATACAGACACTGCTGGCAGGCCCACAAGCCCCCTGGAGAGCCACCTGACAGCCACTCCTGCTCCTTGGGAGGTGCTCCTTATCTGCTGACCTCCATGGCCACACCTGAGATGGAACTGCAGTGGGCGGGCTTCTTGGGGACAGCATAGCTTTTGTAGCCTCCTTATTCCTGGGGCAGTCTGGGAGGTCCCCAGGGTTGTAGTTTCTTGGCCAGTAGAATTTCATCAAGTACCCACAGCTGAATAGCTGGTCTAGAGTGACATTCTGTGCCCTCATCATGCCTCTTTCTCAACGGTGGCTACACTGAGGCCACCTGAAAGAAGCCAGGGCAGGAAGGCGACACCGTGACTCTGATCTTTGGAGCCACCCAGTTTGCGTCTTCTGACAGAGAAGTCTTAAAAGTGGCTGGCTGCCCTCAGCCTTCCCCCCTGCTAAGGCTGCCACTTCAAGGCCACTGCTCTTAATAGCTACATTTCAGAGAACAGAAGCAGTTAAACAGAAGCATTTCTAGGCTTTAAGACCTCAATCAATTTTGAGCCTGGGCTACAGACAGTGCCTCCCTTAGCAAAACAGGATTTCTTCTCATCTCTGCCGAGCCTGGCTGGGTCTAGCCCCAGTTCATCTCACTTTTATAAGACTGTGAAAAGCAACAAGGAGCAACAGTCCTATTTTTGTACCCTCCCACCATTTTCTCTATTGTCGTGGCCTCAACATGTGGTCCACCCTCCACGCTACTGCGGATGACAATTTCATCAATTGTTCAGCCACTGTCCTTGCCATCTGCTGGCCTGCCAATCCCACTAAGCCAGTGCCACATTTTAGATGTTATTTGCAGCATCCCATTTTCGGGGTTATCAAATTTTGAATCCAAAAACCAAAGTAAAGGTGGTTGGAGCAAAATAGAAGTTTATTTCTCTCTCAGATAAACACAGGAATCCAGAGCTGGTACAGTGGCTGCATGGTCATTGGGACCTATGCTCTTCCAATCTGGTGGCTCAACTATCCTCAACATATACCTTTCAACTCATAGTCCAAAATAGCTGCTCCAGCTCAACCCATCACACCCACATTCCAACTGGAAAGAGAAGAAAGGGGAGGGGAAAAGAGAATGCCCTATTCTCTTTAAGAGAGATTTATGCACAGTTGGCCAGAACTTAATCCTATGAGTACACCTATCTGCAAGGGAGGTTAGGAAAGACAGTCTTTATTCTGAGTGGCACTCTGCCCAGCCCACATTTAGAAGTTTTATTATTGAAGAAGGGGAAACTATTAGGGCACAATTAGTAGCCTCCCATGCATATTCTTTGACTTCAGATCTACTGATGAACTGATTTATGAGGACTTAACCCTGCTCAAGACCTAGCATACAGGAATAAATGCAGTTATGTCGTTTAAGTCTGATCCACCATTTTTTTTAATTTTTTTAAAGATGTTATTGGGGAATTGGGGGAGGGAACAGTGTTGGGGAGTCAGGGAAGGGGAGCAGACAAGTTGCTGTACTTTTCTTTTTCAGTCTAGTTGTGGAGGATGTCGTTTCACTAGCCCATGTTGGTATTATCATTGCGCTCTTACCGGGTGAGGCAGATCGGTCGCTGGCCACTGGACGGCCGCTGACCGTGGCTCTTGGCCACTTACGCTGGCTGTCAGCCACTCATAGTAGCTTTGCGGCAGCTCCCCTGCAGCCTACACCATCGCTGGCGACTCAAGGCAGCCCAGCTCCAGGTTGAGCTATTGTTCACCATCTTAGCTGTAGAGGGTGCAGCGTCACTAGCTGTAATGTGGGATCCGAACCCGGGCCCTGCTGCTCAGAACCAAGCCAACTCTTAACCAATGCACCACTCAGTTGGCCCTGATCCAGCATCTTGAAGTATAGCACTGATAGCTCCTGACAGGACCCTCACCCATCCATTACACACATGCATCATTGGAATAAAAGTAGACAGATAACACAAATTTCACCTCTTTTTTAGAAACCCAGATTCCTACCCATTCCCCACCCCCAAATTATACAGGCTAGTCTTCTTCTGTAGCCACCCGTGTATCCTTCGCTGGTTCATCCCTACACCCCTGGATTTCTCTCAGGTCAAGGAAGGCTCCAGGATTTCCCCCAAGGCTGTCCCAGGGCTTCCAACATCATTGTCCAAACCAGAGGAAGAGCCAGGTAAGATCTGTTGGGATGCAGTGGCCGATGGCCTGGGGGAGATGTTGGCAGTAGGACGAAGCGGTCTTAGCCTAGACATTTAAGAGGAAGAAGCGATGACTTGATAACTGATGGGTGTACAGAGGGAGGAGCCAAGGATGGGGCCAGTTTCTAGGCTGGGCAACTGGGTGTGTGCGGGTGCCGCAGACAAGGAGAACTAGGTGTGGGAAGATGATGAGATTGTTCTTTGGGCCTGTGGTCTAACGTCAGGGACACACGTGTAACCAGTCTGAGGCGTCTCCTCAGACTGCAATATCTGGATGTGAAAAATGTATTCTTAAAAATGGTGTAGACATTTCTGGGTCCTAAGCACCCCAATCGGCTACAGTAAATGTCTTTTGTGCCATTCTTATTTATATTTTAATCCATTTGATTTCTGTAATCAGATCTGGTTATTAAAATAACCCGTCTGGGTGAATATGCCGTGGTCTTTGTCTCCTCATGTTGCAGTAACAAAATGCTATCAGTTTGGGAGCTTAAACACAGACATTTATTTCTCATCGTTCCAGAGGCCGGGAATTCCAATGTCTGGTGCTGGCAGATTCAGTTCCTGGTGAGAGCTCTCGTCCTGACTTGCAGATGGCCACCTTCTTACTGTGTCCCCATGTGGCAGAGAGAGCCCTGAGATCTCTTCCTCCTCTTACAAGGTCACTAATCCCGTCACAGAGGCCCTACCCTTGTGACCTCAGGACCTCATATAAACGTAATTGCTTCTCAAGGGCTCCACCTCCAAATACCATCACATTGGGGGTTAGAGCTTCAACACAATTCAGTCCATAGCAGCAAATTCATATTTTATCATAATTGTAATCAGAGGTCCAGTTCTCTCTCAACTTCCTTCCCCAGCCCACCCTGTCTGCCCAAACTCTCAGGGGCCTCACTCTCCCCTAGAGCCCCACAGGCAAGGTAGATGAGAAAGAGGGTACTTCTCACAAGGGGGCAACGTGCTGGGGCTGGGGACTGGTCCCCAACCTTGTCGGCCTCTGCTGGTTGGTAATCTTGGCGCAGGCACTGTGTGTGGTTTTCTTTGGTAGTGCTCAGCTCTGCCCTTCCAGCATGGAGGAACAAACCTCCTTTTCCCTCCCTGGGGGGAGGGGACATGCCCTCCTTCAGCCCCCATCAGCAGCACCCACCCCAGCCTGGTCGCTGGGAGTTACGCATCCCATCACTCAGCTAGGTGGCTATGGGCAGCCTCACATTTTTAGCATCTCTGTTCCTCCGTAGAAGACAATGTCATCTATGACATTAGCACATGCCCAATGTCCCCTGGAGTTGTGCAGTCACAGTGCTGACCATGCTTCCTCACACAGACCACAGAAACCATGGGGTCATCTTTTGCACTGCTCCAGGGCCCTACAGAAAATTCATCAGTGGTTGATGGCTGAAACCCTTGGCCTCACCTGGAACTCCATTTCTTACTTGTGCTTTGAGAAATAGGCCCACAGTTCCTTCCAGAACACCCAATGGCAAGCCAGAGATTCTGATTGAACAAACATTTGCTGAAAATAAGCCTCATGCCTCAGAGGCTTTAACTCGCATCCCCTCACTTAATGCCAAGCAGACAAATGCGATACAGAGAGGAAATGTCTTTTTCCTGTTCCACAGAAACAAAAGAGAGGTCCCTGGGAAGAATGGTGGTGCCTCTAGAGTGTGAAGTCAGCAACAATGTCAAGATTGCATCTCCAA